ATATATATATATATATATATATATATATATATATATATGTGTGTGTGTGTGTGTGTGTGTGGATGTGAATAATAATGATAGATAATAGGCTAATGTATATATATTATATATGGAGTGCGGTCAAATTGAGAAGATCAGAAGAAGAAAAAGCTGTGCGGGTGGGAATTATTTGGTTGACTGTGGCGGTGGACCAGCCGGTGCTTTGGCTCATGCAACTGAAATGACGAGACTGATATATATATATATATATATATATATATATATATATGCGTTATCTTTTGTGTCTGCACTGTGTTCTGTTATTGCTTCTCACAACACCTTTATACTGTAAACTATAATATTACAAATAGGCTATCGAGTATTCGAGTCCATATATAATAGGCGGTCTAATTTTATCATAAAAGTTTTTCAAGGAATAGAGATACTATTGAATATATGACTCTTAGGGATGCCAACAAAATTTGGGGAGAAAAAGAGAGAAAGGTTAGGAGTAAAGTGGGACGGAAAAGAGATAATTTCTGATAAGACTATTATATTTAAAGATTGTCTATGCCGAATGATATGCACTTATCACTTTAAACTTTGTCAAGTACGGAATGACCCTTTTCTAAGTAATCTTTTTTTTTTTTTTATATGCACCCGACTCCTCAACAAAAACACTAATAATAAGGTCTTACATTCACCCTAAAAATATGTTCATTTAAAAGTAAAAAAAAAAAAAATTAATCTAAAATGTAATACTACTTCAATTCCATTTCTATAGAACTCAATTTGCATGGAATTGTATCATACGGAGTATTATATACACAGTTGACGAAGATTTTTTTATTGTATATGAGAAGTACAAAGTCATACGAACTAGACAAACGGGAATCAATAATAATAAAATAAAAAAGATGCTATAATAGCTAGGACTTGTATTATCTACTAAGTACATACCATATACACGAATCATGTCTTGTTTAAAAAAAAAAAAAAAAAAAAAAAAAAAAAAAAAAAAAACATGCGGTTCACTTGTCAACATCCTTTCAGTCAAATATATAATACATATATTCTTAGTGCACACTTTGGATTAATAACAAAATAATATTTATTTTATACTTTCTCAAAGCCACCAGAGTTCAAATCTATAACCATCTAATTGAAATGATAACAAAAATGTTATTACACTACAAGGTAGTTGACCTGTCATTTTTATAAATTAATAAAGATAAAAAAATATTAAAAAATCAAAGCTTATTTTAAAACACTTTCAAAATAAGTTATTATTTTAAAATTTTCATATATTTGTTATTATTTTAAATAATTAAAAGAACTAACAAAACCAATATTTCAAAATTAATACTTGGGCCTTTCATGCGTGTCAGAAACCAATTGCTATTTGATTAATTATGTATCACGTCATCTATTTTTTTTTATTAATATTTTAATAATTAAAAGAACTAACATAAACAATATAATATTTCAAAATTAATACGTAGTCTTTTCATGCATGATATAATTTTTTGATTCTTTAGTTAAGCTTGGCGAAATTTTGTTTTACGCAGAAGGCAATGGATGTTGGAAGGTTATATAGAAAATGATACTTTTTTTTTCCTTAAGTTATATGTTTATACAATATTTTTCTCTTGAAATATTAATGTATTTATATTAGCCTTTCAATTATTTTGAAAGTACGTGGTAGTTTTTCTCACTTTCTATTAAATGAACATTTTTATCATTAATAATAATGAAAAAAAAAAAAAGACACAATTTGCAAACTTATTGGTGTATGTTTTTTTTTTTTTTTTTTTTTTTTTTTTTTTTTTTTTTTTTTTTTTTTGTATTTATTATGATTCCAATATATAAGCAATAATTTGTTGAAGAGGGAAAATAAATGAAATAGTGTTTTGCCCATATTTTTAAAGGTAAAAATACCCACTTAACATAAAATGAGGAAAAATCATTACTTTAAAATAATTAAGAGGGCTAATGTATATACATGAATAATTCAATGGGCAAAAGCGTTATAAGCTTATAAACTAAAGAGAAAAAGTGTCATTTTTCTGAAAATCCTATATATAATAAAGTCATATGGTCTTGTGAAAATTAAATGATGATAATCAACATTTAATTTTCACAAGACCATAATAATATTGTTAATTATAATAACAATAACAATAATAATAATTATATATATTTCAATTTCTACTGGCAAATTATTGTGTGAACGATGATCCACATAATTGTATTTTTATCTGTTCATATACTTTCTCAACCTACTGAAACACAAAGAACCAATAACGCCTCCACTAAGGCTCGAACTCATAATCTTCCAAATGGAAGTCCAACCCGGGTACCATTAGACCACATAAAATATACTTTTTATTGCATGCAACCCCAAAGTTCATAAGTTTGAAAATAATATATGGCATAGCTAGGCGACCTAATATTTAAGATTGTTGATGTGCATATTGAGGACTACGGAGACAAAGATGCGTTATTCGTGGATTCATCGGATACTATCCAACTTAATTGACGTGATGTAGGCTTAGTAACATTAAGATTATATTCTCGAATTATTAGTTCTCTATCTTTTATTGATTGCACACTTAATTCGATAGTATTTGGAAGAAAAAATCAATGTTCGAACTAAAATTGTGATTTTGGTCTTTAAAGGTCAATTGTATGTTGCTACATCTAGAGTTAGAAATCTCAAAGGTCTAAAAATTTTGATCCGTGGTGACTCTAAAATTATAATTCAATTACTATTGTAGTTTACTAAGTTCTTAAAAATTTGTAATATTAAATACTATGTTCTAAATTTTTAATATAGTTTAAGATTTGTAGTAATCACCCACCTTAAATATTATTTTAATTGTAAATATATTTATGTCGTTCATAATTTTATCATAGGAATTCACACATAATAATTATTAAATAACAAAAATTTTATATATGAATAAACCTCATATAAGGTATATTTTTATAACATATTTTTCGTGCATCGCACGGGACAAATACTAGTTATATATATATAACAATATCAAGATCATAATCCTAAGTTTTATCCCTTTTTTTTTGTTTTTTCTTTTTTTTTCCTGAACATATAATAAATAAATTAGTCTTAAAAAAAAAAAAAAAAAAAAAAAAAAAAAAAAAAAAAAGAACATGCTCCGTCTATAAATGAAATGACCCCAATTAACGTTCTATAAGTTTGTAAATTATACGGAAAGATAAATTATACTCCCTCTGTCCCATTTTATCTGTCATACTTACTATTCATTGGTCAAACCAACTCTTTATTATTTGTTTATTTTCTTTAGTATCTTTTACTTATTTTTAAATTTGATTTTTCGTGTTTAATAGTACTTTTAGTGTAGTTTCTAAATATATAAATTTTATATACTAATACTAAATTTAATATTTTGAAAAATTGAATTTAAAATAACTTCAATCAAATCTCGTTAACTGAACCGGACACCTAAAATGGAACGGAGGGAATACTAATAAGATTATGTGTGATATAACTCGACCAAGAGGACAGTGGCCTATTATTTATTTCGTGTATATAATTACATATATTAATTAAGTATTATGTTCTGCAAGTTTAATTAAGTCAATTATAGTGGTTTGATCAAAACTAGTAAAAATAACCTATAATGACCCATTATATTATTACCTGTAACAAGAAATTAAATGCTATGCAACATGCCAAATCTGGTTTAATTTGTTGCAGGCATTGGACAGAGCTACTCGATCAACTCTGAAAAAATAAAAAAATAAATAAATAAATAAATAAATAAATAAATAAAAACATTGAATCTCTGATATGTCTTTTATCACAACTACTTCCTAAAGAAAGATAAAGAGCTCTTGTGCGCAGTGAATAATGACCAGGGATCGAGTCTTACCAGCGGCAGTGTGGGAGCAACCTTTCAAAGTGAGGGGGGCTCCTTGTGCGCAGTGAGCACCGGTCTAGTCTCTATGGTTCATGTTCAGTTGAGTCACCATGATTTACATCCTCCCAAAATGCTCTGTCGGGCCGGGGTGTGGAGCCCTTAAGGGTTGGGGTTCAGCCTTTTTGGAATAATAAGATAAAGAGCTCTTGAGCTCCGTCTACATGTTGGTTACTTCTTCTTAGACAAATACTAAAAAATTATTCCATCGAATTTTAATTTTTCTGAGGATAAAAATGAATTGTCATTGTCTAAATTTAGGGGATGTTTGGTTTGCACACATGCAAATCAGAATCAGAATGACAATCAAATACTTAAAAATTGTAGTATATTTTGGTGAAAGTATTTTACATGTTTGATTAGAGAGTGGAAACGGAATAATTATAAGTATTGATGTTTGGTTGTGTATGACCTTACAATGGGAATAAATGATTTAAAAATACAAAAAAAAAAAAATCAAGACAATTGATCATAATATAATGACATCTAAAGCACTTATATAGACAAAAAAAATCTAAAACACTAATCCAAACTTCAAAATTAGATTACGAATGAGATTGAATGATATATGTTTTTAATTATGGAATTAAATGAGATTTTTAATTAAATGGGTAATCAAATCACATAGTTAACTATGATTTTGATTCTGTTACCTAATGTGTAAAAGCATGAACCAAACACAACCTTAAACAACCAACAAAGACACTTTGTCTTCAACTAACAGCTAGCTTACTATAGACAACTAGAGCAAATAATTTTTTTAAAAAATAGCTAATTACCTCCCTCTACAAAATATATATATATATATATATATATATATATATATATATATATATATATATCATCCAAGTATCCGAATCCGAAGTCAGTCTTGGAGCTGGTAGGGGCGGGCATAGCAGCGTATTGTGGTGACTTGGGGTCTAAGTGAATTGCCAGGCAGGGTAGCTTAAATTTTTTCTTTTCAAATAATGTCCGAGAACTTTTATTAAGTAAACTATTTTATATTCAGCAGCTACATCCTTAGAATGAAGTTCCGGATAACAAACTATGAAGTACTGATAAAAATCAATATGATCTTTAGTTGTCTCCTCCTCCTCCCCCTCCGAATCAAATTCAATGGGATCCCGAGAAACCATGTATTCATCCATAGGATCCCACGTACCCGGATCGATCAAAAGTTCAATTTTATCTGAACTACTCATTTGAAAATGATATCCACATTGTTCACAAATATTCATTTTTGATTTCAAAAATTTCTTATAATTGAATCCATAATATATATATATATACCATTTAACTAGTTGATAAATGATAGTTAAGGTGATACTGCATCATTTTTAGAATGTAATTAAATGAAGTATAAATAAATAGAGATTATTCGTTGTATGTTAAATATTCTCGATCGTATGACTATCAAATTAGTCAATAAATAAGTGTTTTGATGATTGTGTATCATAATTTTTAGTGTAAATGAAGTGAATATACTCTTCTTCTTCTTTTTGAAAATAGAACTAGAATTTCATGAAGTGCATATATAATTTTTTTTTTTTTTAAAGATTGTTCACCATGTATGTGTTAAATGTCCTTTTTGTCAAACTGGAGCTGTGTTCATAGAGTATAATTGCATTGCAGATGCTCTTCCTAAGTTATTCACCCCGGCAGAAATACATTATGGCCGAGATTTTCCGACCACCGGTCAAATTGACCCGGACATTCACCTTTGAGACCGGGAAGATGAATTGCCCCTCCACTCAACTCTCTGCATGTGAGCCAGCCATGAGGCCTTATATGCATTGTCCATTCATGTTTCAGTCACCTTTTTTCCTTAGACAGTTAGACTAGACACCTGGCAGCGCCTCTCTAACCAGCCACTCTGCATCCAGCATGTGGAGGACATGCCTGGTCTGTGGCAATTGTCCTCTGATTCACCTATATAAGGAGTATTTATTGCTAGAAAATAGAGTTTTGACAAACTCAGCTACCCAGAGATACTGTATCTCCATATACATACACTTCATGGTTAGAGAAACTCCAATCATGCATGTCCTTTTCCCCTTGAATTGAACTAGACATTGGCAACGCCTCTCTAACCGGCCACCCATATACACTTCCTGATCAGAGAAACTCCAACCGTGTCTCAATCATCTTTTCCCCTTGGACTAGACACTGGCAACGCCTCTCTAATCTACCTCCCATATACACTTCCTGATCAGAGAAACTCCAACTGTATCTCAATCACCTTTTTCTTTTGGACTAGACAATGACAACGCCTCTCTAACCGGCCACCCTGCATCCACCGTGTGGAAGACATGCCAAGTTTACGACATGTGTTCCCTGATTCATCTATATCAGACATATATTTATTACTAGAAAAATTAAAGGACATGCATTTTGACAAACTTAACTACTATCCAGAAATACTCGATTACTTATATACGTACACTTTCCAAAGCATACTCGGGTCTGGATACATGGAAATTAAATACATCATTAGTTGTGGATTTTCGTATGACCCAAAAAGGATGGATTATGTGGACAAAAAATCACACTTTTTTAATCCAGATTTGACGGGGTGGTTAAATCAGATCAGAAAAGAAAACACTAGTGTATAAGCAGCAGGAGGTACATATATAACCCCTTTATACTGTAATTTTTGTTTGCTTTAAAAAAAAAAAAAAAAAAAAAAAAAAAAAAAAAAAAAAAAAGATTGTTCACAATGTATGTGTTAAATGTCCTTTTTGTCAAATTGGAGTGTGTGTTCACAAAGTAGAATCGCATTGCAGATGCTCTTCCTAAGTTATTCACTCAACATAAATACATTATCTCCGAGACTTTTCAACCTTTTAGCCAGGTTGACCGGCCGGGACATTCACCTTCGAGACCGGTTAGATGGATTGCCCCTCCACTCAACTCTTGCATGTGAAGCCTTAGACGCATTATCCACTCATGTCTCAGTCATCTTTTTCCCTTGGACTAGACACTTGGCAGCGCCTCTCTGACCAGCCACGCTGCATCCACTATCTAGAGGACATGTCTGGTCTGTGGCAAGTGTTCTCTGATTCACCTATATAAGGAGTATTTATTGTCTGGTCTATGGCAAGTTTTTGACACACTCAGCTACCCAGAGATACTCAATTGCCTATATACACTTCATGGACAGAGAAACTCCAATCATGTCTCAATCACTTTTTTCCCTTAGACTAGACAATGGCAACGCTTCTCTGACCAACCACCCAAATTCAAATCTTGATTTCTTCTCTAAATACTGCCTACTAAATCACTTAACTAAGCTCGTGCTGGCGTTAAATGTCCTTTTGGTCAAACTAGAGGGTGTGTTCATAGAGTAGAATCGCATTGTAGTTGCTCTTCCTAGCTCATGATTCATGATTGTGGCTTGCAATGTTTGGATTCCTTACCAGTCACCAAGGACTATTTGGAGGCTTTTGCATGATGATTGTTTGGGGATTTCTTGGGCCGGCCTAAAGAGTGATTATTTGAATGTTTTTTTAATTTATTGGAGTAGTTTCCTCTCCCATTATTTTTTTTAAAGAAAATAATAATAAATTAAAAAATCTTGAAAATGATACTCGAGTGGGTAAAGCATGATTTTCATTCCTCAGAGTCTTTAATAATTGCGATGGTTGTGTATCATCAATTCATCATTAGTGTAAATGAAGCTATGTTGACTATTAAACTAGTCGATATACAATAATTGCGATAACTAATGTGTATCATTATTTGTAGAGTGTAAGTGAAGTGAATATAAATAAAAAGAGATTGCGGGCTCACCATATATATGCTAAGTATTCTCTTTTGACTATTAACCTAGTCGATGAACAATAATTGTGATGATTTTCTATCATCATTTTCAGAGTGTAAATGAAGTGAATATAAATAAAATGAGATTGTTGATTATAAGCTAACTATTCTCTTTTGATCATTAAATTAGTTGAAAAGCAAACAACAACAATAATAATAATAAACTATATATTATCATTTTTAGATTGTAAACGAAGCGAATATAAATAAAAGTAACTATCAAGATTTGTTTAAACTATACTCATTACATTAACTGATTAACTTATGAAGATTAGTCTTTTATCTTTTCTCTTAATTATAGTGTTGTGTGTAGACATGGAGATTGATAGGTGGACACATGCCTACTAGAGAATAGAGATGAATAGACAGATTTGTTTGTTGTTAATTAATGTTCATGTCATACATATGACAAATGTTATTTAATTACGTGATTAGCTAACACTGAAGTGGTTTCTTAATTAAATTCCACAAAATGATGATTATAGACACTAATGTAGTGATTATGATTTGTAGTTTAATTTGTTAAAGGTTTATAAGTGGGTGATAGTGACATCTCATCTCTTGTTATGGACACAACCCCTTTGGATAAGTTTCCTAATCCGTTTTATCCTTAGGGCGTGTGCATTCGTTTAACCGAGTCGTTTTAATAAAAAAAATTAAAAAATTAAACCATGAATCAAAGTTTTTTTTTTTTTTTAAATTAACCGATTAATCAAAAACAAAATTAGCTAAATTTTTAAATCTTTAAAATAATGCTTATAATAATAGATCCAATTACTTCAGTACCTATAATAATAAATCTATAACTTCAATCCAAAATTCAACGTCCGATCCAAACATCCATAATCCATAGAGATTTCATTTTAATTTTAGATATTTTAAAATTATATATATATATATATATATATATATATATATATATATATATGTGTGTGTGTGTGTGTGTGTGTGTGTGTGTGTGTGTGTGTGTGTAACATTTTAGTTAATTGATAGTTTCAAACTGAATTAATCGTTAACTGAAATATTACAAAACCTCTAACCATTAACTGAATCGAAGTATTTCGGTTAAAAATAATTAACCAAAATTCTTTGGTTTGATTAGCTAACTGAACTTCCACTGAAGTTTGCACACCCATATCTATCATGGGGGTAATGATTTGCGATTAATATAATAATCCATATAAAAATTCCTTTGTCATTTATTATATATATTAATTTGTTTGTTTCGCTACGATTTTGATTACTGTCAAAACCTTCTCGATCAAATTCGTTGCACAAGGTCTTCTTAGTAAGGTTTATCTTTCTTGTGTGATTTGCATTTTGCAGGGTATGACACAGGAGTGTGTAGGGTTTACTTAGTGTATAATCTCAGATAGTGACTATGGGTTTCCCTCGCTACATAAAAAAAAAAAAAATACTCACATTTTAATGTATATTAATTTTTTTATTTAGTTATAAATTTAATTATTGTCAACACTCTATCGGTCGAATCCGTCGCGCAGGATCTTTCTAGTGTAATTTATCTCTCTTGTGTGGTTCGCACGTCATTACACATGAACACTAGAACATGGTTTACCACATACACCCTCTCATTTTTGAACTCTATAATTCACAATTTTAGATCTCAATATAAAAATTTACAAAACTCAATATTCACAATTGCAGAACCCTATATTTATAATTTTTGAACTCTATATTTACAATTAATAAACGGTGTCATTAACAGCACCATTATTCTAGACGCACGTTTTAGACCTGAGTCCACAGCATAATTTGCCTTAGATACTCCGGATCATTGTTACTTTGGGCCTATTGAGCTATATGATCTCCTCAGTTCGTTTGAGAGTAATAACTAACTAATTGGCAAATTATTATGTAGATCTGGGTTCACTTCGCAAGGTGGATCGGGTCTAAAGATACACAATTTACTTTTTAGAAATTTACTGTTTGTGACGATTCTGTATTGTATTCACAAATTCTCAAAACTTATCAAGCACCTTGTGATCCACTGGTACCAAGTTGTTCCTCTATGTGGGAGGTGGAAGTTCGTAACTTGGATATATATGTAGGTATATCCCCCCTTATAATTTTTTTTAAAAACAAAAACTCAAAATTTAAAAGCACAATTTATATATTAGATATATTCACAATTCCAAATACTAAAAATACACAATTTAGGACCATGGTCCACCTTACAAGGTGAAAACTGGTCCATGATATAACAAATGTAACGAATTTCAATTGATAAATCAATCGTTATGCGTTGGACCCGTGTCCAGCATGCTTGCTGGACACGGGTAACAGTGTCGTTAGGCACTGTTATCTCTTTTTTTTTTTCTTTTTTTTTTTTTTTAATTTCAGACCGCTTCGTTATAGGAGTATATGTTCATAATTTTATTACTACATGTTAATAACTGTACATTCATAACTCCATAATTGTAGCCTTTACCCACCCGATCGGGCTACAAACCCACTCGGACATGCCTTTTGAAGTTAGTGAAGAAGTCAGTCGAGATCAGATTGGCGCCCTCTACCCGAGGGGATATCATGTGTAGATAGTATCTGGGTAACCCCCTCCGTCTGAACAAAAAAAAAAAAAAAAAAAAAAAAAAAACTCCATAACTGTACGTTCATAACTCTATAACTGTACATTCATAACTCCATAACTGTACATTCATAACTCCATAATTGTACATTCATAATTTTCGAAGCTCTATGTTCATAATTTTATCACTATATGTTCATAATTGTAAGTTCATAACGTTAGAGCTCTTTGTTCATAATTCGATCAATAACTGTACATTCATAATTCCATACATGTAGATTCATAATCTCATAACTGTAGATTCATAACTCCATAACTGTAGATTCATAACTCTATAACTGTATATTCATAACTCCATAATTGTACATTCATAATCTTCGAAGCTCTATATTCACAATTTTAAAGCTCCATGGTCATAATTTTATCACTATATATGTTCATAATTGTAAGTTCATAATGTTAAAGCTCTGTGTTCATAATTTCATAATTGCATAACTGTACATTCATAACGGCATAACTATACATTCATAATCCAAAAAAAAAAAAAAGGCCGTTAACACCGTTAACGAAAAAATGCGCTCGATTTTTTTTTTTTAAAACTAAATGACGCGTTTTTTTTGAAAAATGACGTCATTTTGGGCCCGTGGCCACAATTCATTGTGGACACGGGTCCAGGGCATAATTTGCCTTGATAAATAGTTCCAAAAAAGAAAAATTGAATGGGCCAAAATATACATAAATTTTTGTTGGGCTCATCATTATAGGCTATAGTGGACCTACCAATTGTCCATCCAATAGTTATGCTGTGCAACCGAATGTACCATGCGCATGGTGCATACGGTTCAAAACGACGTCGTTTTGATTAAAAACGCGCGTCCCACTTTAAAAAAAAAAATTAGGTTCGACTCTCAGCAATAGCATTATTGTGGATATATAGTTATGAAATTGTGGATATATAGTTATGAAATTATGGTTATATAGTTATGAATTTATGGATATTTAGTTCATTCATTGTGGATATTTAGTTCAATCATATATTGTGGATATTTAGTTCATTCATTGTGGATTTTTACTTCATTCATTCACTGTGGATATATAGTTATGAAATTCTGGATATATAGTTATGAAATTCTGGTTATATAGTTATGAATTTATGAATATTTAGTTCATTCATTGTGGATATTTAGTTCAATCATATATTGTGGATATTTAGTTCATTCATTGTGGATTTTTACTTCATTCATTCATTCATTGTGGATTTTTACTTCATTCATTCATTCATTGTGGATTTTTAATTCATTCATTCACTGTGGATATATAGTTATGAAATTCTGGATATATAGTTATGAAATTATGGTTATATAGTTATGAATTTCTGGATATATAAAAATGCTATTGCCGGGAATCGAACCTGATTTCTCCTTTAAGTGGGACGCGCGTTTTTTTAACCAAAACGGCGCCGTTTTGCAACCGTATGCACCTTGCAAGGTGCATTCGGTTGCACAGCATAATTTGCGTTGTCCATCACAATAGGCTTTTGCTTCTCAGATCCACTCACAAGGAGCTCATTTCAAATGGCCCAATGTGTAGTCCATCATATTACTTTCTATGAAAATGGTCTCATGGTTGAATAGACATAATTGTTGAACAAAAACTTTAATAAATTAGTATCAATCAGTTCTAAAGTCAATTGTAATCACAAATGGTTGAGAGTGCAAATTCATATTACAATCACATTCAAGAGCTTCTTGGAGAAGTACAAAAACCAATCATTTTCAATCGTATCGTAGACCTCACGAGTAGCTCAATTGATTCTCGAGATTACGCACAAGAACGGACACCAAAAAAGTAGAAATATTCATGTATTCAATGAGCATCTCACTCATTCTGTACAAAGAAATATATGAAATCTGACTGTAAGTGGAACAATTGGGTACACACAACAAAAAAGGATGAAAGCCTAACAACATCAAAGGACTGATGTTGATCCAGTGCAACCTATACACCACAGGGGAACCCAGAAAACATACAAAAATCGTGAAATAATGCTCCGATATATGCCAACCCGAGTGCTCTCTACTCACTGCAGGATCATGAATGACCGTCATCCCAGATACTCTGTCGGGCCGGGGTGTGGGGCCCTTGGGGTTGGGGATTCAACCTTTTGGGAAGAATGAATGGCCATCATCTGGCGATTTGGGCACTGGTGGGGTCGTCGTTGGTGGACCAGCTCTCTTTGATTCCGCACGCCTGGATTGAACGCTCGATTTGGAGAGTTAAGTTGCCCTCTTTCTCTAGGGAGCCACAGTAGCTCTCGAACGTCTGCACATTCACATGAAGCCGGAAGCCCAATCCAAATAAGAACTTCATCTCTAACTTGTTCAATTCTGCAGTGCTCACACCGCCTACTCTCGCATAATATGCGTTGTTGAAAAATCTGCAAAACCACGCATATAGCACGTCAAAGATCAAGAAAGCTTCTCCGATTGCAAGATATTTCATGCAGCAACACACAATATATTCACAGACTCGACTATGTGAATGCAATTGTTATACCATGGACCAGGGTGCCTTCAATTAACACATTCTGTACCTACAGTTAACAATTTCTTTACATATAAACAAATACTCCGTAACCTATAATTGATGACACATAATATGCTACAGGTACAGAAACTATCAACTGCATGTACAGAATGTGTCAACTACAGATACAGAATCTGAAGGTTATTTTTGGACCAGGGTCTACAATGCAAGGCCTTTAATATTCTAATGTTGGTAACGTTTCTGGGCCAACTATAAGTCTGCAAGTCAAAACAAAAGTTATTATACGGATGTAATGCAAAACAAACTTACGAATCATCAATAAATTTTGCTGCCACCATCACGCTTGTAATTAATAGTCGATGAACATTGAAGGAAGTCAAACAGGCATCGGTGCACTGAATGAATTTCTCCATATATATGTGTGCGACCACAAAGCAGGAGGGGCTACAGGAGGCATATTTGAAGATGCGATCAACGTATTGTTGAATGCTCAGAGACGGGGCTCTTGAGCCGTGAAATATTGTAACGACATCTTTTACTTGTGACGTTTCCAGAAACTTTTCGTTTTCCTGGACAGAACTCTCAAGAAGCATCGAGAGAATGGAAAGAACTCGGGGTTTCCCCAAGTTTCCCTTGCCAGATCCCTTGAGCCCCAGTCTCAAGTAATTTAAAGAATCTGTTTCAGACGCTAATGTTCCCATTCCAAGTGCCTGCAGGAATTAGATAATATAAATGTTCAAAGTCTTGAGATTAGAATTTGTAAGTGCCTATGCATTCCCCGTGAAGAGGAACTGGAAAATGACACTCCGAAATTGACTAAAACTCGAGATTGTGGTTCTCCTTCAAATGAAATACTCATACTTTAACCGAGTGAACAGATTAGTATAGCGGGTAGCTTTGAATTCCAAGCTAAACTAAGGAAAACGTCTAGACTCTAGATCAGAGTCCCTCTAAGTGGTGCTAGATCCTAAATTGTTAAAATCTGTTTAGAACTCGAGTTTATTATTAGCACTTAAGACACCATCCATACACAAATACTCGAATTCTTACTGCACCAACGCCATTTTCATCTCACCTCAATTGATTAAGCACTGATACAAACTATATTATTGTGTCAAACATATTCTTTCTTGTAGGCTGGAATCTTGAAGGCCATGAACCCTAGATCTCCCCTTCTTCATTTCACAGGCTTAACACTCTTCACCAGTTCAAATGCTTAAAAGTTCCTCAAATCCTCCCTGAACTGAAACTAGATACTTCACATTCATAAATGACTAAAATGAGCATTTTGCCCCAACTCAAAGAACCTCAACTTCCCATGTTTACAAAACATGGCATTGCATTTCAGGTAGAGAACAAATCTCACAGGAATTCCATAGATCTATCCCAGGAAAAGCTCAAGAACTAAACTTTAGCATAGAAAAAGAAAACCCAGACTCATAGTTCACATGAACATCAAGAAAAACCCACATTTACAAGGGAAAGTAATGAAGAAAAGCGTTAAATAAAACAAGAAAATAAACGGAAAAAGTCAGAAGAGAATCATACACGGATGAAAAGGAGAGTTCCTTGAGAGATCTGGGCGTACAAATCTTCTACATAAGCGTCAATAATTGCAGAGGAAGAGAGAGAATGGTACCCATGTCAGGCAGGTATTCTCATTCCCTCTCTCTCTCTCTCTCTCTCTCTCTCTCTCTCCTCCACAATTCTTGAACTTTAGGTAAAGATAGTATTCTTCTTCAATGTTAAGTACAGAGCAGTGTATCTATAATAATCTTAATAAGTGGTTGTAGGGCTCTTTCTCTCTCTCTCTTACTTTATCTACCTTTCACCTCCAAATCGATTGTCTTTTTCAGGTTGCTTCACATGGAAAGCAAACGCCTTTTTTTTTTTCTTTTCCCTGTATTGTATATTCTGGGTATTGAGTATATAATTTATGGCGTATATACAGCTGTGCCTGTGCGTATAGACGAAATGCGGTGCCCTAAATCCACTGCGCCGAGACTACGGAAGGGAAGCTGTCGGTGACCCCTCCCCCCATTAATTATCATCTAAATCCAATCACCATTGTCGAGATGGAGGTGAAAAAATGGCGACTTAATTGGCGCGAGGTGGCGGTGAGTGGGCCCCACACACCTTTCTCCGTTTTCACCTTCCACCGACGATCCGCCGACTCCGACGGAGATGACGGAGATGACGGAGAAGTTTTCCCTCATATGATTAAAAATGTGTTACTTTTATTTATTGTTCCCATAAAAGCTTGTAGCTGTTACCTGAGTGTGTATCCTATGTAAAGATTAAAATGTTTGATCACTTTAATTAAAGTATATGTTTTATCTCAACTAAAAACATAAACTAATAATTATATGTTTAACACGTCCTCACGTGTGTATGTGCAAGTCAATTACTTTGTGGACCATAGTTCTTTATGGAATTCATGATCTTTCTCATAACTCTGATATCAAATTGAAATATGTGCTCTATTTCAATTAAAAATGTAAATTTCACAGTTAAAAAAAGAATTAATTTCACTTTTGGTCCCACGACTTTAGAGGATCTATTACTTTTGGTGCACAACTTTAAAAGTTTTCAATTTTGGTGCTTAACTTTGTTGTTTTTATCAATTTTGGTCCTTTCAACCAAATTGACGACGAAATATTGCCGGATTTTATATTTTTAGGGGTAAAATCGTCATCCCAAGGAAACATCTTCAATATCTAAACAAAATCACTCTAAAATCATATCTATAGGTGTTTGATCGATGAGAATAATTGGGAAGACGGACAGAAACTAGACACAGATCTATGAGATTTATAGCATCGACGATTGTCAAACTCTTATATTTCTCTTAACATGATTTTTCTTTTGTTTAGATATTGAATATCTTTCTTTGGGATGACGATTTTGCCCCTAAAATGTAAAATCCGGCAATATTTTGCAGTCAATTTGGTCGAAAAGACCAAAATTGATAAAAATAAACAAAGTTAGACACCAAAATTGAAAAAATTTAAAGTTGTGCACCAAAAATGATAGAACCTCTAAAGTCGTGAGACCAAAAGTGAAATTAGTTCGTTAAAAAAATGTGTTTTGTCTCATAAGGAAAAGTGAATAAGTGGTAATATGGAAGAATTTGGTCTGGTCATATTCAACAAAGATTCCAATTCATCTTCCACACACCTAAATACCTAATTTTACTTTATAAAATATTGGGATGAAATCATCACCCAACAACCAAACCAAGTTTATGGTGGGATGTTGACTCCATTATACAAGAAACAAACAAGATAAGAGGCAAAGATGGGTCAAGAGTGGTGCACATAGACAATGCCATTTCATTAATTTAAACAACTACAACTATTAGCTAGCTTGTCTACTGCATGTGACTATTATAAGCATTACTTATCTACTTTTGTGGTCCAATCTCTTGTAATTCAATGCTTTGTTATGCCATGTTTCATAGCATTATTGCCAACTCTTGTTGGAAAGTTGTCATCCTTTTGATTATGGATTATTACATCGCAAGTGTTTGGTTCAAATTTCACAACGAAAGTAATATTATTCTCTCTGAATTTTAGACACACCTGAAAATTTAAGGTTACTAAATACTCAAAGTCATGAGTTTTGGTTAAGGATGAGTGAATCTCTTCTAGTCAATCACAGTTGTGCACATTGTTTGTTGGTAGTTGAATTGATAAATATTGTTTGAATTAGTTAATTGTAACTAGTGATTGTGTCATGACTCATGATAGTATGGCACAAACCCACATTGTCGACATGAATGTTGATAGTGTTGTGCCAAGCCCAACCCACATGTTTATATTGTCAACTCATCACAACCTATTTTAATTTATTAAATCATTTGGGCCAATCCAAGTATCACAACCCAACTTATGTTTATGGTTATTCAGCTCAATCCAGAGGCAATTTATATCCTACACCACGGCGCGCGTTGCACTATGCGCCCAGATGCAAAACGACGTCGTTTTAATTATTATTTTTTTGAAATTTCCCACCCCAGTGAATGGCAGTAGTTTTTTCTTTAAAAAAAACCCGCTGTTCAAGAATGTACATAATGTTATACTAGAATACACATAATGTTATACATGAATGTACATAATTATATAACAAAATATACATACTCTTTTTAAAAGATAATACACATAATCTAACATAATACATAATAAACATAAACTTTTAACATAATACACATCAACTCTTAACATAATACACACAAATTTTCTAATTCGGATGTACATAATTGTATAAAAAGAATGTACATAATTGTATAAAAAATACACATAACTGTATGAACCAATACACATAACGTTGTGAACAAATACACATAATCTCAGCAACTTCCTACCGCGCCTCCCAACACTACCCCAAAACAACGTCGTTTTGGGAGGCGCGCGGCGCACAGTGCTATGTGCGCCGTGGTGTAGGATATAACGATTGCAATCCAGATACTTTAACATGTGGGATTGTGGGCAAAACAATTCAGCCCAAGACCTTCGTTTTCATGGTCGGGGACCATCGGCCATGGAGGAGACGAAGAGACCTTCATCTCGATGGTTAGGAAGACGAAGGAATTTTTATCTTCAGGTCATGGAGATGAAGTTGGCCGGTCTATTTTAGTAATTTTTTTAATTAATTATTTTATTTAAAATTATTTTTAAAATCAGTAACCGTTACATCAGCATATTTTCAGGTAAACATGTTATTTGGATCTAATTGCATGAGTTTGTATTGTTCAGACATCTAATTACATTATTTTTTAAGTTCGATAACTTAATTACAACTTTGTGTGCAATTGAATGACCTATTTGACTTTAAATTCAAATAAATTATTCAATAATATGCCTCAAATTTTCAAGATATAAATATCTCACATGATTATAATTAAGATAGTATATTCAATACAACAACATAGACTAGTCATCATCACTTTATTACCCTCATCAATTCCCGTGGTCAATAGTCAATACCAACTATAATAATCCAACCGTCCACACTCCACATTCATAACTCATCCTCAACCACACTAATTAACACCATTAATAATTCATATTATAACTTAATTTGCTATAATATTCATCAAAAGTAACATTAATTCCACAACTACCTTTTTTTTTTTTTTTTGGGTACAATTCCACAACTACCTAAACAAGATTTAAATAGGTAGACGCTCAACTATATTTACAAAAACACAAGGCATCCTTTACCTCGGGAACAATGATATGTGTAACACATACTGTTGGCTCTGTCCTTGTCAAGCTATCCTCATCCCACAAATTTCTCTCACTTTCTAAAATCGGTCCAACTTCCACATCATCAAATTTGTAATATTTGTTCTACATCCCTGCAATATTCTCTCACTTTCTAAATTGGTCCCACTTTTATATTATATTATAAATATAATAATTAATAATAGTAAAAGATTTAAAAGAAAAAAAAAAAAAAAAACGGCAGCTTTTGTCAGCAAAAGTGGCAAAAGTTGCCGCCTTGCAGCTTTGAAACAATTAGCAAGCGCTTTATAACTTTGAAACCACATCATAAAAAAAATGTATTCTCTCTCATGCCATGTCACTTAGAAAGTAGTAAAATTTTTGGGATGAGGTTAGCCGTTAGCCTCAATTGTTCATAACCACCACACTCCAACATGACGCTGCAATCACACTCAATCAGAGACTCAAAGTGCTCAAAGTAACAATGTGTTCTCATGCTCAACACCTTGCACCTCCTGCGCAATTGTAACCATACATCTCCTTCAACAACTTGATAGTCACTTTCTCGCCTCAATCTCACTTAGCATGAACATAACTATTCAACAGATCATGAACTAACTCAATTCGCCATTGACCATTTATAATCTTTACTTCTTTTTTTTTTTTTTTTTTTTTTTTTTGTACTAATGGAAAAAATGCTATTTTTTTGGTTTTTTTTTTTAAAAAAAAACACAACTTCAAGATTCTCATTTTTAATTGGAAAATAATAGTTAGTTTAAGGTTTGACTAGCTCACTTTCAAAAAAAAAAAAAAAAAAGGTTTGACTAGCTCATGCTCATCTTCTTATAGGCTATAGCATTCGAACGTTGGTACCAAATGCCAAGAAGCAAAAACACCCACTTATTTAAATGCTAAACTAGCCGTTATGAACTCCGCTTTATCTTCTTCTCGGACCCCTCCTCTCTCTCTCTCTCTCTCTCTCTCTCTCTCTCTCTCTCTCCCTCTTAACTCTTCTTTTCACTTTCTCTTTCCAAACCCAGAAAAGCTATAATGGCAATCTCAGTGGAATCATCTTCACCATCCCCGTCTCTCGTCAAGGTGATTCCTTGGAAGAATTTTCACTGAATTAAGAATCTCTTTCTCATTTTCCTTTCTTTTTGAATATAAAACTGAGCTTAAAGTTCAATTTACAGGGACCGTCATCATCATCACCCAGACCCATGGGTCCTTCTCCAGCACGGAGCCCATCCTCAGACGAACATTTCTGGAGCACTCTTCGCAGCCGGGTCGATGTTCTTCTCGAAAACCGCAAATCCCTCGATCAAGTTCGTAGCTTTTCTGGTTTTTCTTTCGTGCTGGTATTTATTCTTGCTTGACAATAAAAGTTCGCCTTTTTTTCTGTTTGAATGTGTAGACTGGTGGAGCTGAGGAGAGAACGAAAAGAATGAAAGAGGATAGTATGCTTCTTCTGAGAGGATTTGACTCTGTTTCTTCCACTCTGTCTCAGCTCTCTAGCAACCTGGAATCTGCCCTTCAGGTAATAATTGCTTATTTGATCTGCAGTTTTGTAAGGGAATTCATATTCTTGAATGGGTTGTGTGTTGTGTTGTTAGGGGGCAAGAGATCTGGCGAAACCGCCCACATTGACAGAAATACTTCACAGCAATCTGGAGAATGCTAGAAGTGGAGAAAACAACCCAGAAGCAGACAATAGGGGATTAAAGAGGAAGTATGAATCGAAAGAATGTTCAGATGATCCAATTGAAGATGAGAATGTGCAGGGCAAGAAGGAATTGGGGAAGCTCAAGATAGCCAAAAATGTTGGTACCATTTCCCTCTCTTTATTTATGCTTGTAAGATCAAATACATTGTAGCTCACAGGCTTGGTTGATCTTTGTGCATGAAGATTGCGGTTTCCATGGCGACAAAAGCAGCTGCATTTGCCAGGGAATTGAAGACATTAAAATCAGATCTGACCTTCGTAAAGGAGCGGTGCTCTCTGTTGGAGGAGGAAAACAGGAGGCTCCGCGATGGGTTCCCCAAAGGCGTGGTTCCACCTGAAGAAGACGATCTGGTATGCTTCTTGCCACCTTGCTCCGTCTTTTTCTCAGCCTGTTGATGAGTAACCCAAAATTACAAGTTTAATTCTAGCTAGAATAGTTTATTCACTTTCTTGATTTGAGCCGATTGGTTTAGTATATTATGATCTTGGCTAGTTAGGATCAGGTCGATTTGACCAGTTATGAACAATCTAGACTGATTTAGCACATTGTGATCCTTTGTTATCTAGGGTCAGGTCTATCATGTGCACACCCCGACATCCTTGGGGTAGTAGCTAGTAGCAAGAAGTCAGAAACGGCCTATTGGCCTTCTTGATTTGAGTTGTGACGGACTATGAACAGCCTAGACTGGTTTAGCACATTGTGATATTTTGCTAGTTAAGGTCGGGTCTATCTGACATGCAACAACCTAGACTGGGTTAGCACATTGTGATCCTTTGCTAGTTAGGGTCAGGTCTATCTGACCTGCTATGAACAAACTAGACAGGTTTAGCATGTTGTGATCCTTTACTAATTAGGGTCAGGTCTATCCTGTGCATACCTTGACTCACCCTTGGAGTAGTAGCTATTCGACTACCAGCAAGAAGTCAGAAACGGCCTATTGACTCTTGGAGTAGTAGCTATTCGACAACCAGCAAGAAGTCAGAAACGGCCTATTGACTTTCTTGGTTGAGCATTTGAGCCGATCAATTACATGGACAATCTAGATTGATTTACAAAGTGGGGTTTATGTTGTGCAGGTGAGGCTTCAACTGGAGGCACTTCTGGCGGAGAAATCGAGGCTGGCAAATGAAAATGCAAGCCTGAGCAGGGAGAACCAGTGCCTTCGGCAGCTAGTGGAGTACCACCAGTTTGCTTCCCAGGATCTGTCTGCATCCTATGAGAACTTGCTGAGAAGTGTGGGTATGAGCCTGGATTTTACAGCAGATGATGAGCAGGGTGATGATGATAATGATGGAAATGGAGAGTTGGAAACAACAGCATCTCCTGGAGACTCTATATTGGGGCTTTTCAAATCCCTGGACGAGTGCTACGATGATGAAGACTGTGAAAAACAAGAATGATCCAAGCACCCCACCCATCTACAACACCTTTTTTGTATAGAATAGAAATTAATATTGGCCATGTTTTTTCCATTCAAAAAGAGAGTATTGCAAACTTTAAGTTCCTAACTTTCAACTTTCAATTATCTTTCACTCCAATCAAATCAAGTGTACTACTTAGTTCTTACATAAAAACACAGTTCACATAAAAACCAACATAACATGAGTTTTATTCAAATACTCAATTGTAGTCTGCATTTCCTAGTGTGGATTTATTCATTTCACAAACTTGGTAAACCAGTTCAACATGTCTTGATAGGCTTCTTCAGCACTCTGCACAGCCTTCCCATCTTCAACACTGTACCTCACACTCCACCCGTGTGCCACTCCCGGAAAGATTTTCACAAAGGATTCCACCTGTTTTGATGAACAAAACAGCTTAGAATGACATGTGTTTCTTGTAAATAAGAATTAAAAGCCAGAAGTAATCAGTTCAAAGCGTTGCCTTTCATGTACCTCGGGTTTTGATGAAAGGATCTCTTCAAATTGTTTAACGAGCTCTGGTGGAGACATTTTGTCAATTTCAGCCCCGAGGATAGCAGTGGGAGCCTTTACCTCTGGAAATAAGTTTTCGTTACAAGGAATGAATCCATAGCTCAATGCAAAAAATATCAATGAATTCATAGAGCCCAAGGCTGTGATCCATACCCTTAATATCGTCCACATTTACGAATGATGGGTGCAATAGGACTGCAGCTTGAATATAACCAGACTGTGCCAGTTGCACAACCACCTTAGCTGCAAAGAAAATCGGGTGTCAGAATTACATACAATCTGAAACGAGAGACAACTTCTGATTTCTGACTTCTGTTCACTCACCACCCCAACAGTACCCTGCAGCGCCTATCGAAGAGATCCCTTTACTCTTTAGAGCCGCAATTACAGATTTCGCATCTTCAAATCCCTTGTCCTGGACAAACAATTACACACTATAGTTCTAGCCCCACCATGATATCGGTAAGAACACGTATGCAAGCACACAAAGAGATCATAAAGAATGGGAATATTATTGCATTGCAGGAGATCTATGGCAATATTGTTGCATTGCAGGATGACACAACTAGGTTCATTTAGTAAAAGCCAGAAAACATACTGTTCCATGCCCTTGAATCCAGTCTCCAAGAGGCTTGCTGTCAGGAACATAGGGATCTCCATATAAGAAATCAGGAACCACAACATAGTATCCACTAGCTGCAACTTTGTCAGCTATCTTCCTTCATATCACAGAGTAACATTAGGAGTTCAGAATTAGTCTGGTGAAAACCAAACAGTGAAGCAATACCACAAGGAGAAGCTGTCATCTTAAAAATGGAAGGGAACAACAAGCAAAGTCCCTGTTTGGTAAAATAGTTAGCCTATCTGCCAATTTTGGCTTATTTGACCACTATTAGTGATTTGACTTGGTTAAACAATCAATATGAGTGTTTGATTAATTAGCTTTTTATAACAATTTATTGTTCCAAAATGCTAAAATTAAAAAAGTTGCTCAAAAGTAGCTTTTTCGATTAGATCAACTAGTTAAACCCACTAACCAAATCAGCTATCGGCCATTTACCAAACACCGGCAAAGAAATTATAACAGTAAACCAGAAAACCAGATAATAATGCCTTCTCTGCAAAAGGAGCTACATGGCACTGCTAACTACTTGGTTTAGGAATGAGAAAGCTACATTCAGAGTAGTAATCTGCAGATATGCACAACATAAGAGCTGCAGGTTGAAGAGAAATGAGGGTACCTGAGATTTGGAGATTCATAACCTGCAAAACAAGGTAAATGGAAAGGAAAGTGAATGGGAGTTCAACAACAAAGGTCTATTTTGCTTAATTGTTGTCAATTTTACTTGGAAAAATGCAAATCAACAAACCTAAATTGACATAAAAGTATTTGTGTTTGAGAAATTCCTACCAAAAATGTCGGAGACGAGAAGGATAGCGTGGTTGGAATTGGCAGCGCCGGTGACATATGACTTGAGGCCGCCCAGCTCCACAACCGACCCAACTCCGGCGCTCGGATTCAAAGTGGGTGGATTCTCACAGCACTGCGGCCCAGACATGTTGTTGATGAATGATGAATTCGATCTTCTTCCCAGATAGTAGCTGCGAGTTTCAAATGCGTTGTAGGAGCGACGACTAGGTAGTAGGTATAGTTTAGCGCTACTCTTATTTATATATATATATATTATATACGTCCTTCTCCACGCCTTCCTATTCCCTTTTCCTTCATTTCCATCCACAAATATTTGTACAACCAAAGACCCTAACATAGGAAAAAGTGTCAAATTCACCCCCTAAGTTGATTGGATAGTGCAATTGAGTCCTCTAAGTGAAAAAAGTTCCATTCAGATCTCTTAAACCGATAAAATTATTCAATTAAATCCAGATTAATTTATTTATCAGGTTAAATGCATACGATGTTAGACACGTGTCCTTATTTTATTTTTTATTAAAAATATTATTTATTATAAATTAATTACAATAATATTATTAATAATAAATAATTAAAAAAAATTAAAAGAAATTTAAAAAAAAAAAATAACAGCCACTGGCTGTTCACGCTGTATAGCCGGTGGCTGTCTTCCTTCTTCAAGGACAATCGTGATCGTCCGGCCACGACTGTTTAAGGAAGACGGTCATGGCCGACTAGACGACGGCCACAACTATTTTTTTTTAATTTTTAACTATTATTATTATTATTATTATTTTAATTAATTTATAATAAATAATATTTTTAATTAAAAAAATAAAATAAAGACACGTGTCAACACCGTATGCATTTAACCTGATAAACAAGTCAATTTAGATTTAATTGAACAATTTTACAAGTTTAGGGGGCCTGAATGGAGCTTTTTTCACTTAGGGGACCCAATTATACTATCCACTCAACTTAGGGGGCAAATTTGACACTTTTTTCCCCTAACTTATGTAATCAAATAATTAATTTAATAATCACAATATTTTTATTATTATTTATAGAGCTTATGGATTTAAGTCGATAAGGTATATCATTATAGACAAGTTTAGTAAATTATGTAAGAGAAAATAGTCAAATGTGTCATTGAATTTTACCTGAAAAGTCAATTAAACTCCTAAACATTTTAAAGTTGCAATTAAGCACATCAACATTGTATTATGGTGCAATGAAGCCTAAAAACCTGTTAGTAACATGTGATAGCAAGTCATGAGAGTTTTGATAACCTCCGGCACTATTTATGATAACAAAACGACCATCAACCGGTCACCATTGAAGGAAGGTAACCTTGGTCGCCTTCTCACTCTGGAAGGCGACCAATAGCCTTCCTTTGAGAGTGAGAAGGCGTTTGCTTCAATGACAACCGATCGCCGACCGTTTTGTTGTCGGAAATAGCGTTGGAGTCACTAATCAGTTTCTGGATTTCATTATACCAAAATATAATATTGAAGATTTAATTACAACTATAAAATGTTTAGGAGTCTACTTGTTTTTTAAAGTAAGGTTTAGGTCTATTTGACCATTTTCCCATTATTTAATACGGAGTAATAATTTACGAGTTAATGACTGATTTGGTCCCTTGATTATAGCAAAATTATCGATTTCATCATCAACTATCTTCCTTACCAAATAAGAAAATTTCAATTTTGGTCCTATGACTAGTGCAGTCTTATTAATTTCAGCGCTTGACTTCCAAAAGTGTCAATTTAGTATCTTAACTATTCTATTTTTGTCACTCCGGCCAAATTTCGCCAAAAAAATTTAATAGTTAAAATAATGAGGGTATTTTGTTTATTCAGGATTTCTATCGAACAATTTGTGTGTTCGAGGGCGATGCATACTTTATTGATTGAGTAGTTTGAAACTTCACGGCTATTTACCAGTCCAACGCGAAGTGTCCTGCGAAGGCTTCAAGAACAGCGCCTAGTTGGGAGTCGTCCTCAATGTCACCAAGGCCTTGTCTCTCCCCGCCGCCAGCCATGGATTCGCCGGATAAGAAGGAAAGAGACGTGAAATGACCAAAATATTCTCATTATTTTAACTATTAAAATTTTCCGGCGAAATTTGGCTGGAGTGACCAAAATTGACAAAAATTGCATAGTTAAGTACTAAATTGACACTTTTGAAAAAGTTAGTGACTGAAATTAATAAGACTCCTATAGTCATAGGACTAAAATTGAAATTTTCTCCTTACCAAATTAAGTTATCAACTTTGAAAATCTTACCCAATTTTGTCATCCCGTGAATTTAAGCCGTAGAATAAAATTAAATAAAATTTTTAAAGTTGAGAACTTAATTGAATAGAAATGACAATTAAGGACCAAATTGATAATTTTGTTATAGTTAAGGGAACAATTCAATCATTTAATTCTAATTTCACCCTCACGGTCCTCACGGAGATGTCAAAGATATACTTTTCCTTAATACTTCACACAGACATCACTGCTTGCGTCAGATAGAATCCGACAAAACAACTTGCATATGTTCTTACGTGGGTATTATACAAGCACACATTGTAAAGTACTCCGTAACAAACAGAATGCCAGTCAAATGCAGTGACAAAAATTTCAAGAAAAACTATTTAAAAAAAATTAAAAATAAAGAATTGATTTGACGAATGAATAAAACCAGACAGACGGGACAAGATGTCATTCCTCAAACAACATCGGACCCGGTTTCCGTGTTACTACACACGCGGGAACTTCTCTTGGTTGCAACAAGATAGTTGCTATCCTCCTCCTCCATTGAAGCTGCTGCAGAACCCTCAGCCCCAGCTTCCTTAAACACAGGATGAACATAAGCATCATGGAGATAAGCTTTCAAGTCCAGATTCGGCTCGGTTGCCCGCTCCAACGTGTCTTTCACCATTGCTTCCTGTTTGTTAAGAGTCCCAGAGATAATATATTGGTTTATAAGGTTATGAGTTAGACTAGCTAATTGGTTGGATTCAATATTTTAGTGTCGTTTAACTCCTGTGCATTATAGCCCAGTTTAGTGTTACCCTGGTCCAATCATAGTTTCTAAAGATCATCAAGAATCAAAGCTTTAGAGCAGGCAGATTCCCAGCTGAGAGGAGAGGAGCATGGACTAACCTGCAATGGGAACTTGACAAATGCAGACTCGAATCTCCCCTTGCAGACCTTATGAAACCAGATGGTTAAAACCGGAAGAACGAGAATCACCGGGGTTGATTGAGCAGCGTCTTTCGTGCTCATCAGTCCCATCAGTAGGAGCTGGGATATTATCAGCCCGATGGTGATACGACGGTGAACATCTGGCCAAAACGCTCCACCACTTTCGTACTTCTGATCATACACATTGATGATCTGGTCTTGCCACGAGAGATTCAATCATTCATTAGGCTAATTAGGCTAGATTTCTCGTTAGTTTATGAAACAATGGGCGTGCGGTTTTGGAAACATACCTGATGGCGGAACACCATATATGCGAAAGCAAAGAATACAATGATGAAAGGGAGGAGTATAGGCGTGACCACCGAGTATACGAGTCCTAGCAGGAAATACAGCTGAATACGAGGCTCACAAATGGAAAACGATATCGAACCAGGGTCCATCGCCTGCTCTCTATCCCGGTCTGTCTTTACCAAGAATGTGTTCTTGACATGAAACATTATCAGTGGAACCAGCCTAAGAACCTCTGCAGCAATGCCAGCCCACCCGTCAACCATTATGTAGGTGATAAAGAAGGTAGCTCTGATTGGAATCGCAACGCCAACTGTTTTTGGGATCCTGCAAGGAATCCAAGATCTCAACAACTATAATTGGCGTGAATTGAAGCATGTGCTCCATCTCAATTAAAAGCTTAAGCTGATAGTTGGATTACACATTTATGTTTTATATATATTATATGCTCAACAACGTGTGATGTTTTCTCACTACAAGGAAACGGGAGCATACTCGGCTGGTGACTGATCGAGAAACGTCTTGAGTTGCTCGAATGCTGCTCCTGCGATGATGCTTCCTAGGAAGACATTGACGAGTATAAACAAGTGATATTTTGCAGCTGATCTTCTCTCCAGAGATGAAATCGACGTAAATCCTTCTATTTTGGACATGATCATAAGAATTGTGGGAAGAATTGCTAGAAAAATCTTCAGTGCAATCCCGGGGAGAAAACCTTGAACAACAGACTTGATAAAATCCCTGTCACAAAAATTCATACACAAGTAAACCGGGGATCATATAGACTACAGTAGAAGTGGATTATGTTAAGAGTCCCACATTGAAAAAATAAGAGAGAATATATGGGTTTATAAGGCCATGTGCTAGATTAACTAATTGGTTGGATTTAATTTTTTAGTATATGCATAGTCAGTCGAGAAATCACTTACAATTCTATCAGTGGCTTCAAGAAAGGGAGAACCTTTTCGATGCCTTCAATGCTCGCCATGGACTGAACAAGCGCGATGGGGATCATGAAAAAGAAAGTAAGGAAGAATAGAGCAACAAGCATTAGCAATCTTCGGACATTGAGCGAAACATAAGGTATGGAAAGGTTTTTCCAGTAGACATCACGAGGTTCCGGGGCCCATTCTGTTAGCCAAATGGTCGGATTTCTTGACTGTTGAGTTTGAGCACAGACGGCTGCAGCCCACCGAGATTTAAACGAAACAAATGCTGCAGGAACTATTGCCTCGGGATCATTCGTAACCTTTTCCCTCTCTGCATCTTCCTAGATCGAAGAATACAATCCATTGTTACTATCCTGCAGGATTACTTCTAATAACTTCAAAAGGGAACTTACTTCTTCAATCAACTTATCAATTTCAGATGCATAGTAATCGATAGCATCCACATTTTTCCCCCAAAGGCCCCAAAAACCTGTCTATACATGACATAAAACATTGCATTTAATATATATGGATACTAACAGACCAGCAAATTTAAGTATGAAAAGCATTACTTTTGTTTTTGGCCTTTTCGTAGGGTCTCTCTCATACTTCGTTTGGTAGTAAGTAAGCCAATTTTGCATACTCTTCTTTTTCTCCACCAATTTTGCAAGGTCGTTTGCATTGTATACAACCTGAAACTTTCACGACTCATATATTCGAAGCAAAAGATATCAAGAGAGTAACTAATGAAGTTAACTAACAATTTGTTCAGGAACAGACCTGATGTGTAAGATAATGATCTGGATGGTTTACGCGGAAGAAATGCTCAACGTGTTCACTAACTGGTTCATCGGGGTCAGGAGGGACGTTTCTCACAAGAACCTTAAAGAACAAAAACCGGTAAGTAGCTGAAGGGGAAACACGAGAACACACAAACATATATACAATTTGAATGCACCCACATACAGTGAACTGATCAGGACGACGATGTTCAGAAGCAAGAAAGTGCAACCTCAATGCAGACACGATTTTGTACTCTTTGTACAGAACATATAAGGTCCAAAACGAGAACACATAAGCCATTGCTATGTGTGTCCATAGCCTGAAAGAAAATGACGGGGTCATTAACAAGAGCAAATTTAACCACAAACAGGTGACCAAAACAAAAAAAAAAAAAAAAAAAAACAGGAAGAGATTCAATGTTTACTTCTGTGATCCAGAAGGAATATTCGATATCGACAGCTTGTCAATATCACTGAATGTCAAGTCCTCGCTGTGCTTCAACGCTTCACCGGTCCAATTAACAGGAACTAAGACAGCAAAAGATAAAAGCGTAATCGGGACAAATATTTTCAGCCTGCATAACCAAGAATCTGCAAATTAGATTATCTACACAAAAGCAATGGCCAATTCATAGCTGTTATAAAGTCATGGGTTAGATTATCTAATTGGTTATTGAGTGACCCTAGCCCAATCTTAATTTATAACTGTAAGCACTCACCCCAGAAGGTAAATCCTTATATACACTGCAGAATCAAGACCTGCATGATCTATGAGTTCTGGTTGTGGCATTTTGAGTGCCTGGGGCATCCAATTCAAGAACCTTAGATAAGTTCTGAAATCCAAATTCACAAATTTCCTCAGAAAGGGCCCTGAGCTTCTTGGGCTTGCTCTTACACCCTTCAAATACCATTTTGGGAAGTACACTCTATCATTAAATGGTTGAAGGCGAAGAACTGCAAAAGCCACCAGGAATGCAATAGCTGTCAGAAGATTGATCATGGCTGAAACAACAATGTCCCCCTCACTAGCCATTTATATTTTCCTTCAAATGTTTCTTCTCAACCTGTAGAATTTGGGTTAAAAATGTTACTTCCTTCTAACTTCTGAAATACAGAAAGGTGGATGAAGAGAATGCTAATTTCTGCAACAATAATCTGGGGAAGAAAAGAGCTTTCAAGAACCGATTTTGATTTGGTGATGATGATGATGATGGAATGGGTCAGCAACAAGCCGGCTTCTTTCTCTTTGCTGTAAAGAGCGATGGCCCAGAGGATGATACTTAAGCAAGAATGCGTGTCACGACAGTTGTGCGCCGGCTAGCCGTTTATTCCTAAGATGCGGCAAATTGGATCCGACATAAAAAGAGTCGTGTCTTGGCGACCTCATTGTTGTTGTTGATGGGAAGTCATTCGATTTTCACAAATTTATTTTTTGTTGTTCGTTAGTTGCTACTGAGGTTATACTGTCAACGTAGTATGCTTGTAATTGGAGTTTTCGTACATTGTGTCTTTGGGAACTAACAGAAAATGGAATTGGTTTTGGGTTAGAAAGAAAATTAGTTGTCCATAGAATTTAGAAAGATATTGTGACATGTTTGACTTTGTAATTTTTAGAGAAAGATACAAATAAACCATTGAATTATTTATGGGATAATATTAAGTCACCGAATTTGAATAAGCTTCAAATTCATCAATGAATTCGAAAAAAAAAAAGAGTAATTAATATTTTTAGCATGTTAACAACATGTTTGTTGATTGAGATGTCATGCGTATATTTTATTTTATATTTTATTATTAATATTATTATCCTACTTAAACATTTGACCTTCTATCTGAATGTCATGTTTCGCATTTCACAAGGTTCAATTAAGATTAGGAGTGACAAGGGAGAAATTCCATTCAAATTGATCAGACAATTGACTTTATAACTCAAATTTCAAATTTGACTTTATGTAAGAGTTGTGAATTGACATTCTTAATTTGAATTGATCAAATATGAATAAATATGATTAGAAAGTTAGCTCCAAAATTAAAGATTATGAGTGAAAAAAAAAATGAAAAAAAAAAAAAAAAACTTTTTTTGGGTGCATAAATGGAAGGAAACACTACAATGGCATGTTAATATAACAACTTTTGCGGGAAATTTGAATCTAAGACTTAAAAAAAAAAGTTTCTAAATCCTAAAGAACCGCTCTTCACCTGGGTAGCCTTTGGTGGGGTGGGGGCTTTTTGACAGGAACATCTATTTTCACCCCATCATGGCAGAATCCCTTACCACTAATGAAATAGTAAGTTTTAATCTTATTGAGTGGAACCTTGTCCCTTCCAACACCACTAGTCCTGTGGAGGGGATGGTCAGCATTGCATGACTCATAGTCTATCTTGTTTACTTCAAGCACATTAATCTGGTTCCTATCATATATAAAATCTACAAGTACAAAACTGAGAATCACTTAAAACTAGAAATTAAACAAATTTTTTATGCTGCTGAATTAATCAGTACATACATTGTAACAGAACATGAGAGGGCACTCTCACACAACACTAAAACAAAAACAAAATAAAGGACAAAAAACACTACAAGAGTACAAGAGTACATATGTCGCAGATAAAACATCTTTCCAAAACGATCAGAATCGCCCTATATGAGGAATGGTGTGGACAATTACATAACTGTTGCCTTGTTTTGTTTCTAACATAACTCAGCTAACTTACTACCAAATTCATTACTCAAGGGCTACACTTACTTCTCAAACTGCCTAAATTAAATTATCACACAACTAACTAACTTGATCAACCAATACATAGGATACACATGCTAATTACCACACAAAATAACTGCCATGTGTTCCTGCAAATATTTTATGGTCTAATGACGTCTGAGTTAGACTCTCATATAAGAGGTTGTGAGTTTAAGCCTCAATGCAGGTGTTATTAGTTATTTTCGTTTCAGTAGGTGCATTAAAAAAAAAAAAAACTAAAATTGATAAGAATCCTTTGCTTTTCTTTTGTACGACTTAAGATCCAATGTACACTTGCTAAGATAGCAATTTGCACTATCAATCATGTATCTACATATTCAATAAAAGGGTGATTAATCAACTAATCTAAAATAAGTTTATAAGTTTATAAGTCATGCTTTGTTTGTTGTTGCTTTGAATAATGCTAAATTATCATATCAATACTCACTATTAAGGACAAAAAAAGAGATTTTGTTTGTGCATATTGGGTTTCGGTTGTTATACTGTGCACCATGGTCCGAAAACGGCATCGTTTCTTTAAGTAAAATGAAACTAAATAATTTGTCTCGCATATTGTGCACATATTATTAAATGAATATGTAGTTGAATTAAAATAATATTTTTGTTGGGTTGAAATTAAACTACAGTATATATAAAATATAACTGAATAACATGACTCACATATTGAATGTATATTGTCAAATAAAATTGTAGTTGAATTGAAATGACACATTAATTTTGCTGAAATGAACAACAATATGTATAAAAAGAAACTAAATAACATGTCTCACATATTGATTGTATATTGTCAAATTAAATTGTAGTTACATGGAAATGAAACTTTGGTTGTGTTGTAATGAAATTACAGTGTATATAACATGAAACTGAATAAAAGTTTCACATATTTCGGTGTATATTATCCAATGAAACTATAGTTGAATTAGAATTATAATTGAGTTAATACCCAAAATCGTCCTCGACTATAGTGGTTTTTCTCAATTTCGTCCTAAACGACTTTGGTGACCTAATATCGTCCCAGACTTTTGTGTTTCGCTCAATTTAGTCCTCCATTTGTTATTCCGTCAAATTGGTGTTAAATAAAGGGACAATTCAATAATGTCAATATTGATCTCTCTTTACTTTCAACTTGTGAAGTGCGAAATTCCTCTTTCTTGTACAAATTACACCCAGAATTACTCCCGGACCTGCAAATCAAATTTTATATTCGCAGTTTTAGGAGTAATTCGTAAAAAAAAAAAAAAAAAAAGGATTTTGCAGTTCACATGTCTATGAGTAAAGAGATGCCAATATTAAAATTACTGAATTGTCTATTTATTTAACACCAAATGGACAGAATAACAAATGAGGGACTAAATTGAGCAAAAACACAAAAGTCTGGGACTAAATTGAGCGAAACACAAAAGTCTAGGACGATATTAGGTCACCAAAGTCGTTTAGGATGAAATTGAGAAAAACCACTATAGTCGATGACGATTTTGGGTATTAACTCAATTATAATTTAATGGTGTTGTAATGAGACTACAATGTGTATATAAAATGAACTTCAATAACAGGTCTAACTATTGTATGTATAATGTCAAATACAACTGTAGTTGAAACAAAATGAAATTGTAGTTGTAATGAAATGAAACTACAATGTATATAAAATGAAGTTAATATGTTATATAAACAGAATCAATTACGCGGAATAAGTGCCAAAGGAAACGACACTGTTTTGGACCATGGTCGAAGTACGCAAATTATACTGTGCAACCGAATGCACCATGCGCATGGTGCATTCGGTCCAAAACGACGTCGTTTTAGTTAAAAAACGCGCGTCCCACTTAAAGAAGAAATCAGGTTCGATTCCCGGCAATATCATTTTTATATATCCATAAATTCATAACTATATATCCACAAATTCATAATTATATATCCATAGTGAATGAATGAAGTAAAAATCCACAACTATATATCCATATTGAATGAATGAAGTAAAAATCCACAATGAATGAACTAAATATCCACAATGATTGAACTAAATATCCACAATGATTAAACTAAATATCCAGAAATTCATAACTATATATCCAGAAATTCATAACTATATATCCACAGTGAATGAATGAAGTAAATATCTACAATGAATGAACTAAATATCCACAATGAATGAACTAAATATCCACAATAAATGAACTAAATATCAAGAAATTCATAACTATATATCCACAATAATGCTATTGCCGAGAATCGAACTTGAATTTTTTTTAAGTAGGACGCGCGTTTTTAGTCAAAACGACGTCGTTTTGCATCGTATGCACCATGCGCATGGTGCATTCGGTTCCACATAGGCATGACCACGGTTCCGGTTCCGAAAATGGTCAAATCGGAACCGGAACCTTATATTAAGGTTCCGGTTCCGGTTCAAGAACTGCCAGTTCCGGTTAGAACCGGCGGTTCTAATCGGAATTTCTATCCTTTATTTATTTATTTTTAATTATGTTATATATGTTACACGTGGCCCAGTAGGCCACAAGGCCAGTGGCCTACTGACCTTTGGCAAGTTTTTAATGTTTTTTTTTTAGATTTCACGGTTTGGAACCGGAACCGACGGTTCCGGTTCCAAGATTATAGGAACCTTAACCGGAACCTATAAGGTTCCGGTTAAGAATCGGAACCGGAACCGTACAGACGATTCCGGTTCAATTCCGGTTCGAACCGTAACCGTGGTCACCTCTAGTTCCACAGCATAATTATTGGTCGAAGTAAAAGTAGCTAGTGGGTTTGATATGGGCCGTAAGACCCGTTAAAGCACAACAGGCCTGGACTTCCTAAAAGGTTCAAGGAAACTATTGGGCCATATTATTTTGTCGTATTTCATGAAGGCCCACAGTAAAATACGGCCCAATAATAATCCGGATTTTCAGGGGCACAGAGTTATGGCAGCAAGTTGTAACGTATAGTATAAGTTGGTAAGTCACGTGTTGCGGCGCGGTATGTAAGAGTCCGCCCACCGCGCACGTTAGCCTACTCATCTCTAACCTAGACAACGCCCCGCGCACTTTAGCACGCGCTCTCTCTCTCTCTCTTTACTCAATTCATATCTGTTTTTGGTTGTATGTGTGTGAATGGGCTGCGTCCGTAAGTCTTTCCCCCACTCTCACCCCCCGTCCCGTCCGCTCTGTAAAAGTAGGGTTAGGGTTTTAAGCGCAACCGCTCATCAATATGCTACTCTCCTTTAGCTGTTTGCCTTAATTTTAGGGGTTTTTCTTGGTTTGAATTTCAATTACTTGCCGTTTTTCCGTGTTTAAAGATCTATCAATGCCTGGGGGGTTTTACGCCAATTCTTCAGCTGGAAACCTTAGGACACTCGAAGCTGTTTGGTTTTTGTTCCCAAAGAAGTGGGCACTCTCGGTGGGAATTCATCGGGGAGCCTCTTGAAGTTGTTGTTTAGGCCGTGCATGCCTTTCACTTGATTGATTGCTTTGGTATTTCTGTGTTTCTATGGCTCCAAGGAGAAAAGGTGCCAGTAAAGCTGCTGCGGCGGCTGCCGCTCGGCGGCAGTGGAAGATAGGGGATCTCGTTCTTGCTAAGGTCAAAGGATTTCCGGCCTGGCCTGCTACGGTATGTGAACACTTCATCTCTGATAACCTTTGCTTTCGTTCTAGTTGAACTGTATTTAGTGATATGCTCTCTGAACTCAACTACTCACTAGTGTATAATCATTGTTATATCTGGCTGCTGCTTTACTTTTCTCCCCATTTTATGTCACCATGGATCTGATGCTATTAGCAACTTTTGTGTGTGTGTGGATATACTGCATGCCCAAATTAGTACTTTGTCCGTAGAGGGGAAAACCTAAAACGTTTTAAACTTTAAGGATTTGGAGTTAGGGCAAGTGCTTTAACAATAGTACATGACTGAATTGTATTTGAAGGAAGTGAGTTCAAGACAAAAAAGGTACATAGTTTGTGTGGTTTCTCCCCAACTAATTTTGTTGGACATATTGCATGCTTGAATTAGTACTTTGTTCATAGAAAGGGAAACCTAAAAAGTTTTGAACTTTTAAGGAGTTAGGAGTTAGTGCAGGTGTTTTAGCAATAGTACATGACTGAATTGCATTTGAAGGAATTGGGTTCAAGACAAAAAAAAAAGTACATAGTTTGTTTGGTTTTCCCCAACTAAGGACATACTGCATGCTCAAATTAGTTTTTTGTTTGACGGAAACCTAAAAAGCTTTTACTTTAAGGAGTTAGGAGTTTGTTCAACTGTTATAGCATAATACATGACTGAATCATACTTGTAGGAATTTAGTTCAAGACAATAAAAGCTACATAGTTTTTGCAGTTCTCCCCAACTTGAGAATATAAAGGGTTTGATGAGTTATGAATGATATCATGATACCATTGTGTTGTTAATTGAAATATGGTCCTCAATTCAATGCTCAGAATATCAATATAATTAAATGAACTTCATAACAACTTGTTTTGATTGTTCGATTATTACTTAATTACTAAGACATTTTTTTTTGTTTGGGATAAGTTTTACTTGACTCCAATATTTCAGGAAATGAAAATCAAATCCAAACTTCAATGTTAAAGCTCTGTTTTAATTTTTCCTCCCTTTTTTAAGTAGCCACAGTTCATATTATTATTTCCCCTCAATGGATGAAATTAGGAACTGCAAATGTCTTCCTAACACAAGTGTACAACTGTATGGCCAAGTAAGAGAAAATGAATGATGCTGAAAGGCTTTAGTTAAGTGATTAATTACAAAAAAGAAAAAGAAAAAAGAAGCTTCCTTTTGCTAGTCAATAATTTGCACCTCTTTTATTACTTTTTATTTAAATCAAGAAGTTCTTTGCTTTCCCATTGGGCTTCTGAGTTCTGACATATGTAAATATTATTGGTTCTGGTATATGTAACATACTGTTGGTTCAGGTTCTTGCTAGACATTATAAAACACTTAACAGAAGTTGATGTGCCATAAATTTGTGTTTTTTAGTTTTTTTTTTCCTTGGACTTTGCAGCCTTCCTGAAGTGAAGGAGTACTCTATTTCTTTAGATACCATCAACACCCCTCTCCACCCTCCCCCCTCCTAAAATCCCATATCTCATTAACATACACCAAACACCTCAAGTCTTTGCCTCAAAATTGAAATGTTGAGGGAGCTGAATGTATATATTTCTTCTATGTTTGACAAGTTTACTGTTGGTTCAGGTTCGTGCTACACATTGTAAAACACTTAACAGAAGTTGATGGTGTTCCATAAATTTGTGTGTTTTTTTCCCTTGGACTTTGCAGCCTTCCTGAAGTGAAAGAGTACTCTTTCTTGAGATACCATCAACACCCCTCTCCACCCTCCTTCCTCCTAAAATCCCATATCTCATAAACATACACCAAACACCTCAAGTCTTTGCCTCCCAAAAAATTGAAATGTTGAGGGAGCTGAATGTATATATTTCTTCTATGTTTGACAAGTTTACTGTTGGTTCAGGTTCGTGCTTCACATTGTAAAACACTTAACAGAAGTTGATGATGTTCCATAACTTTGTGTGTTTTTTTTCCCTTGGACTTTGCAGCCTTCCTGAAGTGAAAGAGTACTCTATTTCTTGAGATACCATCAACACCCCTCTCCACCCTCCCCCCTCCTAAAATCCCATATCTCATTAACATACACCAAACACCTCAAGTCTTTGCCTTCCAAAAAATTGAAATGTTGAGGGGGCTGAATGTATATATTTCTTCTATGTTTGACAAGTTCACTGTTGGTTCAGGTTCTTGCTACACATTGTGAAACACTTAAACACTTAACCGAAGTTGATGTGCCATAAATTTGTGTTTTGTAGTTTTTTTTTTTCCTTGAACTTTGCAGCCTTCCTGAAGTGAAAGAGTACTCTATTTCTTTAGATACCATCAACACCCCTCTCCCCCTCCTAAAATCCCATATCTCAAAACAAACATCAAACACCGCAAGTCTTTGCCTCTCAGAAAATTGAAATGTTGAGGGAGCTGAATGTATATATTTCTTCTATGTTTGGCAAGTTTACTGTTGGGTCAGGTTCTTGCTATACATTGTAAAACACTTAACAGAAGTTGATGTTCCATAAATTTGTGCTTTTTAGTGTTTTTTTTTTTTTTTTTTCCTTGGACTTTGCAGCCTTCCTGAAGTGAAAGAGTACTCTATTTCTTGAGATACCATCTACACCCCCCCCCCCCCCCCCCCCCCCTCCTAAACCCCATATCTCAAAACAAACAATAAACACCCCAAGTCTTTGCCTCTCAGAAAATTGAAATGTTGAGGGAGCTGAATGTATATATTTCTTCTCTGTTTGACAAGTTTCAGTGGGTAACTCTTTTTTGGTATGTACTTGTGGCTATCGTGTATGGTTTGGGATTTGTGTGCCTTAAGGTTACAGTATTTTGACACTTAAGCAATTTTTAGGCTAATTGGGCCCCTCACTATACCCTCTTTCACTCTTTTAACTTTTATATTGGCTTCAGTGAATTGGATCAATCTTTATACACCTTAAAAGTACTGCAAGTCACTTCTCAGCTTGCATTGTTTTGTCAGTAACATTGAATGCAACCTACTTTCTTTGAGACAGATATATCACTTAGAAAGATCTTCAAGGTATTGACTTGCAATTAAATTTAATCATTCATAATTTTATCATTTAAAGTTCTCCAAATAATAAAAAAAGGTATTATTTAATTTGATAATGTAAAAAATAGGTCTAAACATATTAATGTTGGATTCCTAATGGATTTAAATGCTTTTATAAAAAGCATGCTTCATATTAATAAACTATGGTGCATTTAGTGAGTACTTAAATTTTTATGCTTTCATTATGGTTTGCTGTACACCATTTTCTCTTTCACTTATTTTATTCCATTCCTATATCTGTGAATAGCATAACTAACTAAAAGAGAGCATAATTGTTCTTGTTGGTGGTGGATGGCAGGTAAGTGAGCCTGAGAAGTGGGGTTATCCTCCTGACTGGAAGAAGGTGCTTGTCTACTTTTTTGGAACCCAACAAATGTGAGTATTGCATGTCACTTTAGTTCTGTTCTTATATGTTCCTTGTGGTTATATGCATATTTTCTCTTTAAACCTGCTTTCTGAGCTACTATACATCCTTTTTACCTTCGTCTTACAATTGAATTATTTAATTTGTGAGCATGCTAATTCTAGTACATTTAAGACTATGCACACAATAATAGTATTTTTTTTCCCAGAAATTTAACCATTATTGCCTTATGGGTTAAAATGCATTACTAATGACCTTTATGATATGATTTCCAAGGCATGTAAATTTTTCATGTTTGTATTACCTTGTTGAAGTATATGAACTCTACCTTAGCAAAGAAAGTTTTGAGCTTTGGCATTTTATGGGAAATGTATGCAATCAATTTATGATAGAGCCATTCACATTTTACTTTCTCCAGTCAAGTAAGTGATTAGGCACTCCTTTTGATCTTGTGATGTCTAAGCATTCACCATCTTTTTTTGTTTTTTGTTTTTGTTTTTTTTCCCTGTTGATTCTTACTTCGTTTCCGATGTCTTCCCCTTTTATACAGAGCTTTTTGCAACCCTTCTGATGTAGAGGCTTTCACAGAAGAGAAGAAAGAATCTCTCCTCGGAAAACGCCATGGAAAAGGTGCAGATTTTGTTCGTGCTGTGCGTGAGATAATTGATTGCTATGAGAAATTGAAAAATGAGTCAACTAACAATGAACTGAACTATGAAGTACCCACAGCAACACTTGATTCTTGTCAAAAAGTGAAACATGCTGCTGCAGATACAAGTGGTTGGAACTATTCAACAGAAACTGGTCTGGCTGGAGTGGTAGAAGAAATTTCATGTGATGAACAAGTACCGTCAAAAGAGTCTAGTGGCATGGTGGAAGTTATGCCTGCTACAAAGACATATTCTTCAAGAAGGAAACTGAACTCTTTGAGACCACGTAACTGTGCCACACAGAAAAGAGGTCCTAGTACTTTGAAGGATGGCATTTTGAGGAGGAGTAAAAGGACTAGGAAGTTATTTGATGATTCTGACAAGCATGAGGTAGCTTCGCCTACTTTTCTTTCAAATGGTAGCATTGAAGAGAATGATTCTGAAATTGTAACAGCTGATTCTGATACCTCAAGCTTCAATGAAGGCAGCAGTGTGGAATCTGGTTGCAAACTTGAGCCTAGGTCCCCTGAGCATTGTGAAGGCGAGGTAGAATTTAGCCAAAAGCTTGATTTCCATGGTAGTGCTGTAATACTTAAGAAGAAGAGGAAGCCACATAGGAAAAGATTACCTAGTGATTCAACTGAGGATACAGCTGCTCCTGTCAAAGAAATAGATTCTGAAATGAACGTGGATATATCTGGGCAAAGCTTGCCGAATGATGTTGAAAAGCCAACTGAAAGAGTTGTGAAGGATATGAAGGAAGATGGTGATGAGCACTTGCCGATTTTCAAAAGAGCGAGAGTTCGCATGGGTATGCCATCACCCGTGTTGGAGGAACTTGATACATCAATAGAAGAGGATAAAAGAACAGAAGTCTGTAATAGCACTGCAGAACAGGGTACTGGGTCATTGCATGGGGGGGATAGTTCTTTTGCTCCAAACTCCTCCCCACTGAATAAAGACCCAGTTAAAATGGAGCAATTATGCAATAGAAAATTTGGTGGTTCGCTTACTGGTGAATCTGCTTTACCTCCATCTAAACGCCTTCACCGTGCCTTGCAGGCCATGTCAGCTAACACTTCTGAAGATGATAAAAAAAGTCTTGGGGGGCTATCAAAAATAAATACATCCCTTGCTGAATGTTCTTCTGTGGGCTATTGCTATGAGACATCAGATAGTCAAAAAGTAGAGAATGAATCTGGAATGGGGAAAGCGGAGATGCTTCTCAGAAATGTTTCTATAGAAGATGCCTCTCAGTTCTCAACAGCAACAGCCACTGCTGTGTCAATGGACAATCCTGAAATCAAGTCACCTAATACAGGGGAGATACAAGCCAAAGTGGAATCACCTAATGTAGGTGTTGAGGAACAGGTCTTAGTAAACCATAGTGATAATTCATCAACTCCTCTTGCAGCTTTCAATGACAATGACGAAGTTGATGTTCATTCATCAAAACCTTCTGGAGAGCCGGCTTGTGAACTTCATCAAATGTGCTCAGATTTTGTTGGAGGGGATAAAATTTCCACAAATTCACCCAAAATAGATGGCATTGTTCATGTGCATACTTTGGAGGTTAAATGTGATGAGACTAACAATTTGTGTCAACATTCACTGGATGAGAGTAAACAAGACAATGAAATGTAAGTTATGTTGATTAGTTGATTATCTTTTCATCAAAGCTGTAGTTCATTGTCTGAATAGGTGTTGACCCTTTTTCTTTTTGTACATTTTTCCCTGTCCTTGATTGGGATGGTTGCTTTTTACTGATCCATTACCCACTGGCCTTATTCTGGCTTGTTTTGTCTCCAATAACATGAATCTCATGTTTTATCTCAGATCCAATGCTGAAGAGGGTTTTGGATTGACATTGAAGGATTCATGTGCTTTATCTCCACCCGAAAAGATTATGAGTTCTTCACAGCAAGAACTGCATCAGTCTTGTTCAAGTTCTGTATCTGATGATCATTTGGGTGAAAAGCCTGTCTCAATTACCTTGTCGTCGTCATCTCTCACTGATGGGTTGGATTCAAACGCCCGGGCATCACCACCGAATACTTCAATATGCAACATGTCTAAGTCAGATGATTTTGTCCTTGATAAACCGAAGTTTGCAGACAAAATGAGCAGCAAAAGAGAAGCTAGTGCTGCTCTAGCTTATTTTGAATCCATTTTGGGAGCATTGACACGGACCAAGGAAAGCATTGGTCGAGCAACACGTGTTGCTATAGACTGTGCTAAATTTGGTGTTGCTACTAAGGTGAGTGACATGCAAATTTTCTTGAAAATATATTTTGTAGTTGGTCATCTGGAGAACTTCTTTATGATTATGAAAGCCCCCTTCCATGGGCTTGAAGCATCGAAAAGCTTAAAATAACATAAATGCTTCAAATTTGTGGTGTGCATTTGATGTTCAGCCTTGCCGGAAATAGCCTTGTTTCTGTGTGCATTAAGACCCTGCAATAAATTGATTTCTTATAAATCCGGTTCTGTCTTTGTATTATGGCCTCTTTATGATGATGATGTTTTTTCTTCTTTCTTGTTCCTTAAATCAATGTAGGTGGTGGAAATTCTTTCCTCTAATTTGGAATGTGAGTCCAGTTTACATAGAAGAGTGGATTTATTTTTTCTAGTTGATTCTATCGTTCAGTGTTCAAGGGGTTTGAAAGGTATGGCTATTGACTTCCGGTTTTGCTAGGTTCTCTGGATGGTGTGTCATACACATTTCTCCAATCTATGTTCTATATATCTTTTTATGTGTGTATGTATTGAGATTTTATAAAATTTCAGGTGATATTGGTGCTATATATCCTTTAGCAATCCAAACAGTATTGCCGCGTATGTTAGCAGCTGCTGCTCCACCTGGAAGTTCTTCCCTGGAAAACCAGAGACAGTGCTTGAAAGTATTAATAATAATAATTTTTGTGTATTTGGATTTATTCATCTTGCTACTTTTCTGCATTCAGTGCAATGGACATAGACTAGATTTTTAACTTGATTTGTTGAACAGGTTTTGAAGGTCTGGCAGGAGAGGAGGATTCTTCCAGAATCAGTTATTCGCTCTCGTATTACAGAGCTGGAGTCCTTTTCTTCTAGCGGTGTATACTCTCGACGGTCTTTAAGAACAGAGAGATCTTTTGATGACCCAATTAGAGAAATGGAGGGTATGATGGTTGATGAATATGGAAGGTATTAGATTTTATTTGAATATGTTCTATGTATTGTTCCCAGTGGAATAAGGTAGCTTTGTTTTATATAATTTTGGATGTCATCATTGACCTTTATCTTTTTCCAGCAATTCAAGTATTCAGCTTCCTGGTTTTTGTATGCCTCCAATGCTAAAGGATGAAGATGCAATTGACTCTGATGGAGAGGGTTTTGAGGCTGTTACTCCTGAACATACTGCTGCAAAATCTGAAGAACAGGGAAATGTCATCCCAAGTACTGAGAAGCATACACATATATTGGAAGATGTGGATGGTGAACTTGAAATGGAGGATGTGGCTCCTGTATGTGAAGCTGAAATCCCTGCCATAAGTAATGGTCCTGGAATAGACACTGGGCTGGCTTCAGATAATCCATTTGTAAATCATTTTGGAGCACACATTCACCCTCCATTTCCAGTAGATTTACCGGTAACACCTCCTCCTTTGCCAGCATCCTCACCTCCTCCACCTCCCCCTCCACCTCCGTCTATGCCTCCGCCTCCACCTCCTTCTGTGCCTCCACCTCCTCCACCCCCTCCACCGTCCTCTCTTCCTGCTCCTGTTTCATCTGGCTCAATATCTGTGGATTCAAAGTTGTCTTCAAGTTCAGAGGTACATTTCAACACTTCTCTCTGTTGATGATTTGGTGTAGAATGGTCTTTGTATATAATCTTTGATCAGTGTGTTGGAGTGCAGATTGTGAAAGACAACGTGGAAGAATCGATCCTGCCGCAATCTATTAATGCAAGAGCTGAATCGAGAATTCCAGATGGTATTCAGCATCATGCCCCTGATAGGAGAGGAATACAAAATCATGTGCCAGTGCAGAAACCTGATTCTCGTAATTCACATGCATTCAGTAGTGAATCTGTCCATCATCCATCCGCTTGGGGGTCCAATGACATGCCACCTCCTGAGGATTCTTTCAAGAAGAACTTTCGGTTGCGCCCACCTCACCCTGCTCCATCAAACCAGTTCTCCTATGTGCAGTCCGAAGTGCAAGCAACGAGGAATGTCCCACATCCTTCTTATCCAAACAGATTTCATATGCACAATGCAGATAACGTTGATCTCTACAGAGAACGTAATGATTTCCCGCATCGTGATGTTGGAGAGTACTGGAGGACATCAGCTCTGCCTTCTGGTAAAATTCACAACTAAATCATATTCTATTTGTGTTATTTTGATCGAGATTTAATGGCTATTTTCCTCTCAGGCCCATGCTACCAAGACAGCAGCAGAGGCCCTTATGCAGCTGGTCCATATACTTGTCCTCGTCAAAGGTCATATCGCGATCACAGATGGGCTCACCCTTCTCGACCTATGAACTATAGAGATTTCTTGCCTCACCGAACACCCCCCGAAGGTCCCCTCCCAGTAACAAGTAGAGGTATGATAATCTTCCTTAATCGAGAATATATTCTTGACATACAACCATTAGAAAGTGGGTATCGTTTGATTGTTTTCTTGATATTTCTGTGATGTTAAATGACAAATAACATAGTAACATATGCTTCATCCGTAACTATATACTTGTCCCGTTTACTGTAGATACTACGAGGATTGGAAACTCTACTGTGTACCAATGATGTGCTTGAATTTAAATTTCAGGTTCTAAATATTGGCGACCGAGATGAGTTGTTTCAGCGCTACTGCTTCTGCTTCTGTTCTGTTCTGTTATTGAGTTTGCGGTTGTATATATATGCAGTGGTAGAGTAGAGAGATCTATCTAAGCCATGAAGTTGATAGAGCTGTAACATATTAGGCAGCTGACATTTTTGTATATGTACTCTGTTTTCTTGTTTTTTTTTTTGGGAACATTTATGTACTCTACTAGTCTCAAGGATAGAAGTATGGCATTAGTTTTGTCAGAGGTCTGCTTGGCCTTGTAACTGTTCACAAGTTTTGCTGCCCTTCAGGCTTCAGCTAAATCTCTGGGATAACAATTAAGGCTGAAATATCCCATTCTCTCTCTCTCTCTTAGTCAAAATAAACGTTTTCACCTTAATTGCTAGCCCCACTTACCCTAAATTCTGCATAAAGTTATTTATTTGATACATAAAGTTTTCAACTTTTTTAATTAATTAATTACTTGACAAAAGGGGTGTTTGATAAATAGCTGATAGTTGATTGAGAATGAGTTTCATTAGTTGATAAACATTAGCTGATTTTTGATAAATTAGCTGTTAGTTGATTATTAAATACATGTAAAATAATTTTTTTCAAAAAGTTAATCGAAATATTGAATTTTAGCATTTTAGAATAATAAATTATTATAAAAAAATAAATAAATAAATAAATAAATAAATAAATAAATATATATATATATATATATATATATATATATATAAAATGGTCAAATAAGTTAAGTTAATTATTATGTTATTAAACGATCAAATAAACCCAAAATTGATTGGTAAATTAATTATTTTATTCTTTCGTTTTGTGTGAGTAAAAGAATGGTGTTTGCGTGATCTGTCAAAGTAGTTGACAATTAAGGAGATAGGTGGCGACGACACAGTTTTAGCCATAAGGAGTAAAGACAGACCCACCCCCACGCATACGGTTTTGCTCCGCCTCTTATCGGCCGCGCAGCCGCCGGGAAAACATGGGCGCTTCCCTATCCGCCGGCGATTCCCCTCCACACAAGTCGATTCACGAATTCACTGTCAAGGTACCGTATTTCTCCCACTTTGCATACAGTTGTTTGTTAGGAATTTGAATCCCAATCCTCTTTCTGTTCTTCGAATTTGCAGGATTGCAAACGTAATGATGTGGACCTCAGCATTTACAAGGGCAAAGTGCTTCTCGTCGTCAATGTTGCTTCCAGATGGTTCTCTCTCTCTTTCTCTCACTTGGTTTTTGTTTTTGTTTTTGGTTTTTCGCCCTTTTTTTGAGCTAGGTTTGATGAGGTAATGGTTTCTGTGGTTTACCAGTGGGCTCACAAACGCTAACTACACGCAGCTGACTGAGTTGTACAGCAAATATAAGGATAAAGGTGATTTATTCTTAGATGCCATCAATTTGGTTTTCTTTTCATTTTAAGGTTATAGTGTATGAGTTTGGAACTGTTTTTTAAGTATGAAGCTATAAGAGCTTTATTACCACATGCCTGACTTGAATTTCCCTATCAGGATTTGAAATCTTAGGTTTCCCCTGCAATCAATTCCTGAAGCAAGAGCCAGGGACAAGTGAGGAAGCACAAGACTTTGCTTGCACTAGGTTCAAAGCTGAATATCCCATCTTCCAAAAAGTAGTGTTTCTCGTGCCTTTGGCCCTTTGCTTTTGTCCGAGGCCATGCCCTTTAACGTGGCCATCAGTTATTCACGCTTTATTTCCTGTTTGCGTGTCATTTATTTTAAACATATGGGGAGAGAACAAACAAGAAAAAAATACCGACTAGAAAATCTTGCAACAACTAAATCTGTAAAAAGCCTGTTAGTAATGCCCTCAGGATGGTTATCTAAAAGATGGAGACCATAAGGAAGATGGTCATGGTGTGTTGCCATTAAATCTGTACACTCGTTTGTTGCTCAGAGGACGTACGGGACATTGTAGACCCAATCACTTTTCAAAATATCCGGATTCCTTAGCCATTGACAACCTTTTATTCTCATGACAGCCACCAAAGAGTCAAATGTTTGCCTGTCACTTTAAATCAGATAAAAAGTTCTGTTTTTTTATTTGTCTTATTGTAGTATTTGGCTTGATGAAGTATAAGTAGGAATGCTTAGGCAGCTGTGATGGTTGTAGAAATTAAGGGATTTGTCCAAACCATTTAGCTAAGAATAAATCACTTATATAATATCCTCTTGGCTTTATAATTTTCCTCTTGCAACTAATAGATGTAATGGAATGAAAGCAAGATGTATATTTTGATTAACTGGTGTCAGAGACTTGAATTGTTATTGTGCATCTATTGGAGTTGGCTTTGGAATTTTTATTTTATTTTTCTTGGTGATAAGTTTTAGTAATTCTAGTCAAAGGAATTACCATCAATGGAGATGATTATAAGTAGTTTATTTGTCATTCTCTGGTGTTCTGATAGTTTGCGGACTTGGGGTTTCCTGGTTGTGTTTGTGTGTTTTGCATGCCTAATAAAAAGGAATTCCCTTCTATAGAAATAAACATAAAGATTTTGTAGGAGGTTTTCTAGGTCCTGACAGTTAGTTGGCTTGTTTATTTCCCAGTTCTGCTTCATTTCTATATGTGTGCATGTTGATACATTCCCAATGCTTTTTACTAATATCTAAAGAAATTGTGTCAACCGATAATGTCACAAGTTGCTAAAGCGTGAACACATTCCAACCCCTATCATTGCTCCTGAGCTGTTGATTCCTTTATAATTGGGCCCTTATCGTTTCACCACATGATATGGAAGAATCAAGAATTTATTTGCAGTAATATTGTATGTGCATGATAAGATATTAGCAGGCCCCGTTGCAATTTCACAATAATTGTTGACGAAGTTATGGTGAATTCTTGATCAGGTGAAAGTTAACGGTCCAGATGCAGCACCAGTCTACAAGTTCCTTAAATCAAGTAAAGGTGGCTTTTGTGGTTCCAGCATCAAGTGGAACTTCACCAAGTTCTTAGTTGACAAAGAAGGGATCGTTATTAAGCGTTTTGGCAGCAATACTCCACCATCTGCAATTGAGGTATCTTGCTTTCTCTTTGCTTCATGTTTTAGTGGATTGATGCCCCATACATTCTGTAGATTCATATGCCCAAGTTTTTGAGGTCCCCTTCCTCCCATCATTCCAAAATTGACTTGAAAAATTGGGTAAATGCAATGAATGAAAGCCTTTAAAGGATATTCCAAAGACTAACTTCAACTTTATTGTCAAATCAAAGTATCAAACTGATTGATATTATCTGCAATTGAGCTGGAGTAACATAAGGTTGGACCCAATGTGCAAGCTAGAACTATTCGGAGTCTCTTACAAATTAAAACTCCATAATAGTTCGGCTGACATTATATTAAACTTTCTGCTGGCACTCTTCTTTCAGGAAGATATCCGAAAGGCATTAGGAGAGGAGTGAGAGGCTTTACACAATCTTTATGCTGAAAAGAACGGTCATACTTATACTAAGAGTGAAGGGTCTAGCAGATGAGTTAAGTTCTTCTAAATGTTTATATTCTATGCTTTGTTTTGGCACTTGAAGTGAATCTGTGATTAACCTATCTATTATTATCATATTCCACCATGTAATATACTAATTATGACCATGTGTTATATGCTAATGCTTGTTCAATATAAATTAATTAGATTTTGAAATGAATGTATTCCTCCGACACAACAATTGCACATAATTGAGTTGGCACGAGCTGATTTTCTGGAAACATCAAGGTAGGGTTGGCATGGCAAGGAGACAAAACCATGCAAATGAAACTCTTTCATTTGTGTTCCATAGTAACAGTGTAAGATAAGATAATGCAGTGATGTTGGAAGTTGGAACTCAATAATATGATTTGATGTCGGGCCACCACATACTTGATCTCTATTTCACCTAATATCTTCTACAGCCCCTCATAGTACAGGCACTATATAATAACTGAATCCTCACTTTCAAACCCATAAACTTGCTCTTCAATACCAAAACCAAACCCCCATTCTTCACCATTCTTCTTCTTCATACAAGCATGTCAGCTTCTTCTTTGTCATCAATAAGGAGTTGGAAACTCCGGTCAAGGCGTGGCTGCTCGAAGCAACTCCGGGAGCAAAGGGCAAGGCTCTACATCATATGGAGATGCACGGTGCTGCTACTCTGTTGGCATGATTGATACTGACTTCATACCTAGGTGCAGATAGATACTAGTGATGTTATTGTACTAATGCCTAGTTTTCAATTATAAATATTCACATGAATTTGTAGATTAGTCTATAGTTTGGTATACTGTACTATGTGAAAAACATTCAGGAGAAATTGTGTTAGTTGCAAGAAAATTGAGGTTGTTTTTTTTGGGTATACCCAGGGTTTCCACCGTCGAACACAGTGTCTAATCCCCTCGCTGAATTGTAGGGACCTCTTTTGGGTGGGACAGTTGGCCTGGAGAAAATTGAGTTGTTTGAAACACCTAAATACATACGCAGGCTGCGTTTACTTCAATTCTTCAGTTTCTCCTTCATACCCAGAGATCGAAACCCTCTTCGATCCCTTCCTACTCACCTGTTTTCTCTGGCCAGCTTCTCAACATTAGACTCTCAGGTGTTCATAATCTTAACAGACAACCTAGGAACAGTCTCTTTCATGTTATGGATCTGTGAAATGAGCTTTTGCAGTTGTGCTTATCTGTCATATTTAATCATTTCTGGTTTTACTGCATCAAAGGTAATACTTCTGATTAGCATCTTCTGCTATGAACAGGGAGGATTTGATGCAATCAGGACTGTACAAAAGCCAATAGTTTAACCCAATCAAGAACAATAGAGTTTCATGGTACAAAAGTTTACTATTTTGACCAATCATTGAAGCTCGAGTTGAATCCGGATTCATATAAAGCATATCTACAGAGAGAAAATTAGGACTATTCATCATCTTGCAAATCTAGCCTCACATGATATGCAAGTAACATATGCTAACAAAAGATCTCGAGTTTGAGTTCTAGGAGTGCAACTACTTTAAAACTCATGAAGGAGTGTTTTATCACCCTTTGAGGTCCTACTCAACACAAACATAATTAGTCTCGGTGTGTGGGTCTTAGTGTATCATGCCTCACAAACATGAACAGACAAATTAATTTAGAATTGTTTCAAATCATGCTACGTTCCTACGTATTTGCTCTTATCCTAACCTCATATATTGGTCAAGTTTTTATGAGTAATAATATAGGTGGTAGGTGTAAGATCAAATCTAATTATGGGTGATGGGTCTTGGGATTACATTTTCAGTTCTATATATACATTTTCACTAGTATTTATATAGAGAATACATTAAAATTAACTTAGCTATAAATATTGATATGAGATATATAATGTAAAAACAAGAACTTATAATTCGTAAATATACACTTCATGAATTTTCACGTCTAAGAGCAAGCTCAATAGTATGGTGTTTCTTTGTTTTGTTTTGTTTTTGTTTTTTGTTTTTTGTTTTTTTTTTTAGTTTTTTGTCAGCTACAACCGAGGGAGGGAGGGAGGGAGGGAGGGAGGGGGAGAGAGAGAGAGAGAATTTCAGATTTTTTTTTTTTAAAAAAAAAAAAGAAGAAGAAAAAGTCTACTTTAATGCGCCTAGCATGCACACGTCTACTGTACTGGGTGTGCATGTTGCAGCAAGACGCGCGAAAAATTGCTTTATTTTTTTCTTTTCTTTATCCGTGCAGACCCTACTAAAAACCAAGATTTGCAAGAAGAAAAACCAAGTAAAAATTATCTTGATGGGTGATTGTTGATGGCTAATAACTCAACTTATAGTAGAGTAATGAGATCAAAGTGAATAATAAATTTAGAAAGATGCATGAGTCGAGCATTGAAAATAGTATACTTTTTTATGTCATAATCGAATGTCATTTTAGATAAAGAATTCGTGTTATGATAGTAAAGACACTATACGAGATTGACAGGTGAGTGATGATAGCCAATAATTTCATTTATAATAAAGTAATGATATCAAAGTGAATAATAAAAGTAAAGACACTATACGAGATTGACGGGTGAGTGATGATGGCCAACAACTCCATTTATAGTAAAGTAATGATATCAAAGTGAATAATAAACTTAAAAAGATCAGACGAGTCTACGCAGTGATCAATAATAGTATACTTACTCATGTCTGAATCGAGTATTGTCACTTTAGATAAAGAATTCATGTTATGATAATAAATTAAAGACATTATAAGAGATTGATGGGTGAGTGTTGATGGCTAACAACTCCACTTATAGTAAATTAGTAATGAAATCAAAATGAATAATAAACATAGAAAGATGAATCGAAAAGTGAAAATAGTAAACTCATTTATTTAGATAAAGAATTCGTGTTATAATAGTGAATACTAAATACGTTATAAGAGACTAATGATTAACAACTCCATGCCTCCACTTATTGTAGTGAGGGGGGCTTCTTGTGCGCAGTGAGCACCGGTCTAGCCTCTGTGGTTCATGTTCAGTTGAGTCACCATGATTTACATCCTCCCAAATGCTCTGTCGGGCCGGGTGTGTGGGGCCCTTAGGGTTGGGGTTCAGCCTTTTGGAAGAATGAAATCAATGTGAATAATAAACTAAAAAAGATGAGTCAAACAATGATAACAATATACTTATTTATGTATGAATCGAATGTCATTTTGAAAATGGATCGGAGAAGGGTGTGATGTCGAAGCCAATGTTGATTTTGTAGGTGGTATGACACCCATTTGGTTACACCATGTCATGATTTGCTTTGAAATCTTTTAAAGGTCATACAAGTCGTGGACTAGTGGAAGCTATCTAGCTAGTTCAAATGCCCACTCAACCTCCACGATTAGGCTTTCCGATGCTCCATTATCATCTTTACATTTTAGTGCTCCTATAATATTTTTTAGTTGATTCCCTTTCAGTCTCCTAGTTTGAAAATAGTTAAAGACTTTGTTCCCCAACCTACATAGAATCATTAAGTTATTATCCATTTATCATGTTTTATAACGCAAATTAAATTCGAGGTCTTGCCAACACCCCCACAGTCAAGCTAAGCATGTTGTACATTATTTTTTTTAGTACGGTTTACATCTCATATGTGGTTTGCAAGTTATTACAGGAGCAAAGTTTATCTCGTGCACATCATCGAGTAGTGGCTGCAGATTTCGCTCATCATTCAAAATTAAATTAAGGTGCATATATAAAATGGATATGATATGTATCTTATTGTGCAATGACGGCCAAATATTTGACGGGAAAGAAATTAACTAAGAGATCGAGTATTAAAGGAATTGATTAGTAAGTTCAACCAATATATGCAACAAAGATGGAAAGTAGAAATTAGTCACTTTTATAATCTATAAAGAGCATAATAGCACAATACATAAATTGGTCGAGAAAGTTATCCTGCATAAGAGAGATTTGCTACAGTTTGAGAGTCTAATTAATATAATCTCTCATGTTTCTGTCACAATAATTCTTAAAGAGAAAGAGTTGGGAATGGTGTGGTCTGATATCATTTTTAGAATCAAGTCTTTTAAGGCTGGATTTATCCTTGAAAGAGACACCCTTCAAGCTGATGTGGTTGCATATAATTTTTTTTTTTCTTTTTGTTTACACATGTATTGCAAGCTTATTATTGGCATTTGGCAACTTTTGTACATTATTTTATTTTATTATATGTGTATATATTTATTAGGAAAATATATTAATTTATTATTGTGAAAGTGAGAGAATACATCATGGATGTAGGGAACGTATTGAAAAAATTGTAAATTTTGTGATGTGGAGGTAAGATCGACTTTTTGAAAGTGAATAGTCAATTTAAAAGTGATCCGGAAGGTCAAAGTACTTGCTAGGTTCCTGTACTGTAGCATTCTGTTCAATTTAGTCCCTGTACCTTAATTTTGTTCAATTTAATCCCTATACTTTAAGATTTAGAACAATTAAGGACAATACTTAACACCGTTAACTTTTTCTGTTAAGTTTGTCTACGTGGCGGGGATTTGCCATGTCAGATTGTGTGATGTGGCATAAAATAATGTAATTCAAACCAAAAGGATGTAAAAGACTCGAACCTTGAATCTTAAGTTTAATTTAAAGGATAAACTCTCTACCGCTAAGCTACACACAACATCTATTTAGGGTTAGTTAAAATTATATAATAATATTAATTATGCTTGTGAAGTACTAAAGAATAAAAAAGGAAAACGCCTTCACAATGATAAAAAAGGGAATAGAATAAAATAAAATTATATAATATTAGTTATCAGTGAAGGTCTTTTCCTTTTTTATGGCCTTCACAAGTGATAAAAAAAAAAGGAAAATAATAAAATTATATAATATTAGTTATCAGTGAATGCCTTTTCCTATTTTATTCTTTATTACTTCACAAGGATAACTAATATTATATAATTTTAACTAATTTTAAATAAGTGTTGTGTGTAGTTTAGCGGTGGAGAACTCATCCTTTAAAACAATGATTCAAGGTTTGAGTCTTTTTACATCCTTTTGGTCCGAATTACATTATTTTATGCCACATCACACAATCTGACATGGCAAATCCAACGCCACGTGGATAAACTTAACGGAAAAAGTTAACGGTGTTAAGTATTGTCCTTAATTGTTCTAAATTTTAAAGTACAGGGATTAAATTGAATAAAATTAAAGTACAGGGACTAAATTGAACAAAATGCTACAGTACAGGGACTCGGGCCTCTAGAGTTGGAGATTCAACCTTTTGAGAACAAAATTAGGAGTGTATTCGGGCAAGCGGGTACAGTGTTTGGAGTAGTGGGAGCGTTCAAATGCTCCAAATTAAATGCCCTAAAAATGTCGAAAGTGCATAACGAATCATGCATTAAAACTACATACCTTACCTTTATGCTCAATTGCTCGCGGAATCGATCATGGCGTACGGAGAAATGAAAAGACATGAGCTTCTTCATTCGATCTGGCGCATCAATTGCAGAACGAAAGTGATTGAAAAGCGTAGTGGTCATAACATTTCAATGAATGATAGATTTTATTCCGATCCGATTATCTATCTTTTTCTGGGAATAGTTGACTATCTGGGCAGATTTTCGCCATCAAATTATGATTTTAGGTGTGAGAGAGATTGATCGATCGAGCAGTTGTGTCGCCCAATCGCGTGGAGTTTCCAGGTGAATTTTATCAGAAACTTCTGTCATGATCATCAGTGCTTGACCCCATTCCCCTTCTTCCTAGTGATACTTCTGTAGCAGCAAATTAAAAGACAGATTCCATGGATATACACTCAGCACCATTCCTGTTCCAGACTTTATACTCTCTGTCTGTTGTGTATCTAACTGGAAAATGATAAGCGTTGAACGGAATTCTCTTCAAAAACGTAAATGTGATCTTCTTTACTTTCTTCGATTATTTTTTATTGGTGTTCTAATTTAACCTTATCCGTAGTTAAAATGGACATTGGAGAACCCAGAGAAATTATTATGTATTGATTATGCTTAGCTTTTTGTTTAATGGTGGAAATTATATATGAACATTACATAGTGTGTTACAGCAGGTTATTGAATTATGCTTAATTTGATTGATGATCAAAGTGTGTACTGATAAATTCTGTCTCATCTTGGGATTTAACTGGACTCAAATTAAGAAGGCTAATAAGCCGCTCCCTGATTAATTTGATTTTATGGATCTAGTGAATTGCGGCTGCGGCGACGGTGGCTCGGGCGGCGGCAGGCGGGATGAGAAGGTTGTTGGCGGTGAAAAACAAGGAGCCAGAGCTAGCATGGCTGTGCAAGAATCTGTTGAGGATGGCGGTGCCGGGCGCCACCACGAGATTCTCCCACGCTTGATCCGCTTCACTGCCGCCGCGCTTAAGGAACGCCTCCGTGGCGTCCAGGCGGTGTATCTTCCACCCCTTGACGTGCTTCAGTCGCTTGATTTTCTCTAGCTGCCGGCACGCTAGTGTTCTGGTGTTCTTCTTCACGTCGTTAATGGCGTCTTCCAGTAGCCTCGCGCGGTGTTCCTCGTCGGATTCAATGCGGAAGTACCGGTCTAATTCCTGCATACCAATTGCTCGACGTAATCCCTTAGAGTAATCCCTGCTCGCCGGATTAAACATGCCTCTCGCCTCCTCAATCATCCCCTTCTCCACCATCCGATCAACCCGCTCCGACACGAACGAATGCAGAACCGGCAGCGCAACGTCGACGCAGATAAAACACCAATCGTACTTCGACTTCATCTTGGAATCCTCGTCTTCAACGAGCGCCTCAATGAACGAATTCGACCCGCCGGCGATCATCGGGAGCCTCCCGCGTCCGGCAATCGACTTGATGCAGCGCGACGCCGCGTTGCAGAAATTCTTCGCCGTGAAATCCTTCTCGGGGTCGATTATCCCTAGCAGATGGTGCGGTACGCCGCCGGCTTCCTCGTCGGTGACCTTGTTAGTGAGCACGTCAAATCCCTGGTACACCTGCATTTTGTCCGCGTTCACTATCTCCGCCGAGAATCGGGTTGCGAGGTCGACGGAGAGTCTCGACTTTCCGGCGCCGGTCGCCCCCATCACCACCACAACCTTCTCCTTCTGCGGGCGGTGCAGAATTTTCAGGTCAATCCCGCCGCCATTGGGCATGTGCAGCAAAGGCAATTTTTGTTTGCACATAAATGTCGGCGCAAATCTCATACTCATAATGTTTCACTCAATTTATATATTTCACGACAAATGGACACATAAAATTGCAAAGAATGGGAAGTGTTCTCTTTGAGGTGAATATATTTGTGTGACCAAATGAGAAGAGTTGGGGAATTTATAGTTGCAAAAAGAGTATATGTGTCCATCGATCACTATATACCGGTCAACGAACTTCAATTTGCATCTTTATATATTGGCCACAATACACAATCCCATTAAAAAGAAAAAGTAACTATATGGAGTGTATTGAGCATCATATTACACATATTGTATTATTTTAGAGATATGAAATCACAAAGTTTGAATCAATAATATTTTATAAAATTACTATATGGACTAATTTTATACTAATAGTTATTGTTATCAATTTACATAGAGTTGACGGGTTGGAGGGCTTCTCAAGTTGTTCACCTATCACTAATTTTTTAGACGAATTAGGTTGGGGTTTCCTCAATCCGGCCCGAAGGATATCCGGGTTGACCCGTGTAACTCACGGGCCAACTCGTACTCCACCCTCAAATTTATCTAAATTTAATTTGTGTACTAGGGATTCGTATTACTATTTTTTTTTTTAGTACTATTGACTTTGTTACAATGTAGTATATGTTCATACATACTTTCTCAATCTATTGAAGCACAAAGAATCAATGCCCCCAATGGGGTTCGAACATGTGCCCTCCCATATGTTCATACATACTTTCCCGACCATGTTGTTGCCTCTGGATTACGAGGTTGTTGGCTTGTTGCAGTCGCCCTATACTTTTCCCAAGGGGTGTCTTTCACCAGGCAAAATTGCACCCATTCACATGTTAGCAAGCTGTTAGTTCTTTAGTAACTGATAGGGATATACCCCCGGTAAGCCAACCATACGGTCGGGACCGACCGTCCTTCAGATAAGACGGTCGGGTCTCCCGCCTCACGTCCCCTCGAGCCAGTCGTCAGCCAGTGTGATCGCCCGACCGACTGTCCTGCCCGAGGGATCCGACTTGATCGAGCCCTTCGCTGTGGCCAAAGCCGTAGGGAAACCAGTTGACTATCGCCACCCGACCGACCGAGACCGGGCGCACCGCTGGCCAGAGACCCTGACAGGCCTCAGACTTTAGCCGCCGCGTGGTGGCCTACTACCTGGCTCCGTCCGCAGTCGGTGCATGCCCGCCACGTGCCAGCCATGCCGAGAAACCTGGAACCTGGCTCCTTTTCCTACCTATAAATAGCGTATTAAATGCTACTAGGGGGGACTTTTGGGCATTAGGTTGTACCGGAGCTTCCCGAATCCCGATCCATTGTTTGGAACCCGAGCTCCAACCCTTACCCGTATACGTACCCATACCCGTATATACCATATCAGTAACGTTTAGATTATCACGCTCTGATAATACAAATATACTATATTTTTTACGCTTTCCAAGTAACCAAGAACTCATTCATCTCCTCCTCCTTGCTTTTTCATACTTTGTCAATCATTTTAAACTCGAATTCAAAAATTTATATTAGAATTGTCGAATTAATTCACACCACCAACAATAATAATATTAGAAATCTTGAAAGATAACATAATGTACATATAAAATGCTCTCGTTTTGTTCTCTACTTTGTATATCTTGATATATCTTATTGATAACTTACTTTTTTCCCCCCTTTTTCTTTTCTTTCTAGTCAATTAATGTACAATAACTAATTAGGTGATGGAATATATACTTTTAGGTAAAATTAATATTTTTTGCAAAAGAAAATAGATAACCTTTCTTGTCAAAATAGTGATGAGTTAGTGCTAATATAGTAATATTCCGAATTGAAATTTGCACCAATTGCTTTATCTAGTAATCTTTAAAATCACTATTAATACTCAAACCTCCCTAAATAATTTAGTATGTTAAAAAAGAGTGATCAAGTGGGTGTAACTTATTTTTTTCTTTAAAATCTAAAAGTCACAAGTTTCCAAAGGGTGGTCCAGGTGTGATTTACAGACAATTACAAAGTAATAATGTAGTGTATATTTTCAAATAGTGACTATGAAATTTTATCATCATAAAAAAGAATTCAATTGTGCATTTAAATATTGGAAAATATACACCTATGGAATGCAAATATTTTCTCCAAAATTTTAAATTTTGAATGTTATAAGAAAATTAAAAATAAAATAAGAGAAAAAAACTTTGTTTAATTCATAAATAATAAACGAGACAGGTAAAATAAACAAAAGTAATACTTATATATTTGCAAATTAACTAGTTATGATGATGCAAATTAAACAGGGGTAGGAGTCGAAACTTATACTAAGTAGGGTCAAGTATAATGAGATTGAGAGATTGTACATCTTCGATCAAATAGAGTTGGTAATACATATTAGTAAATGCAATGAAAGAGATATAAGATAATCTAGAACATCGTAGAATTGAGGAACTATGTATATTTAATTCAAGTTGTCTAGGCTCTAATAACGCATTCCAAATTGGCTAATGCGGTGTCGTTTGATTACTAGTCAAGTGGCATGTCAATATACTCACACAATTATGACGACTATATATAAACAAAGTCACACTTCATATATAAGTCGACTATTTGCAACACTTATAGGTCTAGCAGGGGAGTTACATGCCTAACATTATCTCCACCCAAATGGACTCGGATTGATATTTCAAAAAGTTAATATTTAGTCTTGAAATAATGAACATATTGCTTGAGTTGACCAATGGAACTGACCTATAACTTTATCACGCTTAAGTTGTCCTATAGGGACATCAACTTGAATTAAATTTTAATTAACGGATAGGTTAAAAAACGTAACGCATTATATTCTGCGATCCAAGAAATGACCATCCACAAGGTAGTTATCCTAGCTTGGCAACAGAATATAATAATTATAATACTGACTAATATAATGTTCTAAATTTTGGAGAATATTTTAGTGGAAATGGCTTTAATTGGTGCAGCGGTCAGTAATCAACTTTAATTTTTGAGCTAACTATTTATAATAATGATATAATGACTCTTATATATATATATATATGGTCAAATTCCAGTGCAGATAGTGTTTCTCGTACGTCACTTACTATTATGTACGCATAAAAGCACCACAAAGTGTTCGGAAATGCATCATTAGGTTGGTAAGGTGTGGTGCATTTATGCATACTCGATAGTGATCCACACCGACCGCACATGAAACACCACCAACCGCACATGAAACACTATTCACATTTGAACCAGTATATATATATATATATATATATATATATATATATATATATATATATATATCTACTATATACTAATAAGAGTCCAAGAGAGTTAGGCCTATAATGGGTAGAAAAAATGGCGGTCACAGATTTTAATCAAATGAATGGCTCAGATTGATTAAAAGATTGATCAGATTTAAATTTTATACTAAAATTTCCTAAAATACCCACACACCGTTACTAATTCCGTTAAAATTTTAAGAATTGCCGTTAGTTCACCGTTAACTTACTCATTGATTTCAATAAAAAAAAAAAAAAAAAAAAAAAAAAAAAAAAAAAAAGGTCTTAGGTTCGAACCTCATCCCAATCAAAGTTGGCATAGTTAGTACTCTATTTTACTCTTATTAAATTATATATATAAATAATAATTTAGTAGTTACAACAAAAAATAATACATATGCATTTCTTTAATTTAGAATTATGTGTTCACAATGTCTTTATTCAAAAAAAAAAATTATTCATTATCAATAAATTAAATAAGATAAATAATTTTATTAGTTATATTGTCTTTATTTTTCTTCAGTATAAAAATTCTTTATATTCAAATTTATTAATTGATTATGTTCGCTACATTGTCCTTACAATGTCTTTATTCAGTGAAAAAACAAATTATTAATTATCAATAAATTAATTAAAAGAAATATTTTCATTAGTTATATTGTCTTTATTTTTCTCAAATGTAAAAATTTTTACATTCAAATTCATCAATTGATTATATTCACTACATTATCTATTATCTTTTTTTGTGCACTATTTTTCTAATTAAATATCAAAGTCATAACATAAAATAATGCTATATATTTATTTACCAAGTATTTTATTAATACCATGAAAAAATTTAAAAAATATAATTAATAAAGCCAACCATATTAACTACTTGAGAGATTTTGTGACAAAGAGAGTATTTAAATCACACAACAAATTAAAGTGAGAACTACCTCGCAATGTCCTTGTTTGACAATCAGCAGTTAGCGGTTAACGTTAGCGGATTATACAAGCGGATTTGACCACCGAATTTATTTAATTATTAACATTGGGTAGAAAAAATGACCGCCAAATTATTAAATCAAATGAATGGTTTATATTGTTCAGGTTTTAATTTTTTTCTTTTAAGATTTTTTTAATTTATCCTTAATTATATGATTATCCATTTAACTTTTCCGTTAATTCACCGTTAATCTAATTCTAATATTAAAGTCTAATATAGAATTATAACTACATCATTAATCTAATTCTAATATTAAAGTCTTAATAGAACTTAACCACAAATCCTAATGTCGGAATCTCCTCAAACAATATATATTAGTATATATTTCATATTTTATGCCCTAATTTTTATTTGTTCTCCCTTATGTCCCGTATTTGGTTTCAACCATGCATATACAATTATTTTATTGACAATTATAATCAATATTGACTATATTATCTTGCATTTGTAAACTTAGAATTGCCTATTTAACCCGTATGAGCTTAGCTCAATGGTTTAGTGGGTAGTATTTGGGAGAAGAGACCAAGGTTTGAACTTCGGCGCCGGCAATGCGGGTATTATGTCCAAAGTGGGCAGATTCCTTGTGCGTACCAGCATTTGGCCCTGTCTGCTGAACCATTGAGTCACCGTGATTTACAACTTCCCACAATGCTCTGTCGGGTCGGAGTGTGGAGGGCCCTTGGGGTTGGGGACTTCAACCTTTGGGAGAAGAATTACCTATTTAAATACGCAAATTCAACCTTCAATTATCTATGCATGAACAATTTCAATATAATCTTGCCTTAATATACTTTAAAGTACTTATTTAAAAAAAAAAAACATTGGGCATTATCCCAATCGCGCAATGCGCGTAAAAAA